AAGGTTCAACTTTACAACCAGTGGGTACAGACTAACAAGGTTCTCCTTAATAACCAAAGGGTCCAGACTAACAAGGTTCAATTAAACAACCAAAGGTTCCAGACTAACAAGGTTTCACTTAAAAACAAACGGCTCCAGACTAACAAGGGCCCACTTAACAACCAACGGGTGCAGACTAACAAGGTTTCATTAACAACCAAAGGGTCCAGACTAACAAAACTTCCTTAAATAGCCGACGAGTCCAGACTAAGAAGGTTCAACTTAACAACCAATGGGTCTAGACTAAGAAAGTTGCACTTAACAACCAACGGAAATAACACTTTAGAGTATTTTTTATTATTATTATTTTCGGCAGGAAAAAGTTCAAATTGAGTTAAAATTACTTTCTTTGGAAAACAGTTTGATGGTGTGAAATTTTAGAGCCTGGTTGACATCTAGGGCTTGAGGGTGATACCCAAATCAGTCAAATCGGCTAAACAAGATTTCAACAACCCTTCCTTTGATAGTGGTGTGGTTAGTCCCTCCCTTTGTACATGTTTAATCATCACCACGTGAAATATTGTTTGATATCCATCACATAGTCCAAGAGAAGAGTCGCTTTAAGAAATGTGTCCAAATTATCCCATTTTGGCCAACCTCTCAGTGCTTGGGTGTCCAGCCACACCGTTTGTATCACAACTTGCATTGGTGGTCCTTAAAGCCAAAGATTACAGATGTGCATCGCTTAGTTCCGAAGAAGGGTCACTGAAAGCAATATGGCTAAATTGATTCTTTTGGCGCCATCCCCCGGCCCCCTGAGGAGTCACCTTCCTCCGTTGGAACTCTTTTGGAGTCGTCGAAAATAAGGGAATGTTTCAAACCAAATATGGTCGATATCCATCAGTTTTAGAGGACAGCACCTCAAATATTTTTAGTGTTTCAGAAGAAGGTGATTGCAAAAATGTTGAAACGGACGGACGAACGGATGATGGACGTCGCAGTACGGCATCAGTTACTCTGTAATATATCGTGTACAGCGCAATAATTGTCGTGTACACATTTTGTACTTCCAAACGATGGTCTTTTTAGGATGAAATAAACTAGTGTCGCTTTGCAAGGCAAGTCTCGAGAGCGAAAGTTTGTGGAAAGCGAGAAAAGTGCATACACATAAACTCCAACCAAAGTCTTCAAGTGATCGGTCACCATTAATAAAACAAGACATAAAAGTATTAATATTTATACTGGCACGTTAAATAAACGCAACACCCGATTTCGATAATATTTCAATTACTCAAAATCCATGGGGTAACGCTCAGTTATAAGCACTCTGTACCACCGGAATATGTCATGATCAACTCGAAGGTACGAGGTAAGACGTTTGATTAGTTTCAGGTAAAAAAAACTAATCTGAGTGAAATTGGTAACAGTAGAGCGACACACAGCTTCAAGGCCGGTTAATTTTACCGTTACGCTACCGCGCGATTCTTTTGATGGATATAAAAGGATCAAACTAGTCTACTTGAATCGTCCGCAGGCTGAAGAATACCGAGCTTTAGACCTCGCCACGACATATTCCAGAGGTGCAGAGAGCGTAAGAGAACTTCACTCATAGAATCTCGAAGATGCAATTAAGGATCCCCGTCCCACTGATCTATTTTATTTATATAAAGAGAGTAACTTCCCCTTGATTTCGTTTTGGATTTAACAGTTGACTTGGCTTTATACCTATTTTATTGCCTTAATAAGTAAAAAGGATTTGGCACAAGTAATAGCAACTTATGAAAAAAATAATTTCAAATTCAACCATAGGAAGAAGTCGATTACATGTAAATTGTAATGGAGAGAGATTTATATAGTTTACGTTCAAAATCTTTCGCTTGATTTATGAAGGACTGCACGTGTTCAAATAAATTACAATTTGTATTCAAAGCAATGTTTGCATTGCCAAAAATAAGCTTATTTGCACATTACAGCACGAGCATTTAAACTTAAACTGTAAGCCAAAAAACAACTAATACCCCCGTTGCTATATAAGCTAGAACTGTAAGCCTAAGGCAAAGCATTAGGACATCTCCTACCAGTAATGATTTCTTTATTGACTGAGCTGTACACTTATTTGAGTATACTTGTCACTGACATACTTCCTGTACTCCTTCCCCACGCCAAAACATACTTACATATCAAATGTTGTTAGCCATGATGTTAGATAAGGAGAAGATGTCAGGACAAAGAATTTTAACAAAGGGCCATAACTCCTTAAAAAGGGTCGAAATGAACAAAAAGACTAGCCTGATGCACGACAGCAGAGGGTAGTTACAATATCTATAAACTTTCATTGAAATCGGCCCAGTAGTTTATGAGGCAGACAAAGGTTTATTCAAGAAAGGGCCATAACTCCTTTTAAAAAGGTTGGAATGAAAAAGTACTACTTGGATGCACAACGTCATGGGGCAGTTAACATATCTTTAATTTTTTTTTTTTTTTAAATGGCACAGTTGATAAGGAAAAGTTGTCAGGACAAGACTCGATAAAAAGGGTTGGAAAAAGAATACTTAGATGCAGAACATAAGGGGGTAGTTATCATATCTGTAAATTTTCGTTGAAATTGGCTGCCTTGTCTTGGAGGAGTTTTCAGAACAATATTTTTCAACAAAGGGCCTTTACTCAAAAAAAGGACAGATTGAAAAAATAAACCTGGATGCACAACATCAGGTGGTAGTTATCATATGTGAAAACTCATTGAAATTGGCCTAGAAGTTTTGTAGAAGTTGTGCGGGAAAGCGTTTTTCAACAAATGGCAATAACTCCATAAAAAAGGGTCAGAATGAAAAATAATACCTTGATGCACAATTTCAGGTGGTAGCTAATATATATGGAAAGTTTCGTTGAAATCGGTCCATTGCTTTAGAAGGAGTTGTCTGTACAAAAAGTGTATCCCCCCCCCCCACTAACTTCATTGAGGGGGTATACTAAATTTGGTGCTCAAAAAGGAAATGATAAGCATTTTCACAATGGTGCCCACAATTTACACAATGAGAATCCTGAACTGAATTAACACGGAAGAGATCATAGTTAAGAGAGCTGCAATGTAACGTCTAGTATGTAACGTTTAATTTTCGTTCATCATACCCGAAGTAGCAGGGCTGATTTGTGGGAATATGTTGGGATAGACCTAGTTAAAAGATGGGAGAGGCAGATATTTAATATTATCATCTAAAGTGTTCCAGTTATTTAATGTAGAAGGTAAGAAAGATTTGTTTGTAGTAGAAAGTCTATAATTTGGAGTTCTGTAATTGACTTTATTTCTTAAGACAGATGGATTATTTTCGCCTACTGTGGGGACAGCTGGGCCAGGACGCTTTCGTTGACCAGGTAAAGCTCAATTGGTTAGAGCGATAATCTAACAATTTGGGTTAGAATCGCGGTCAAGCCCTGCTAAATTATACTTTAAGAACACAGTCGCTGATTATATTTTATTTATTTCATCATCTTTATTTCTTTCATGAAATGAATCTTGTGATAGTGCAGATATGATGCCGACTTAAAAGTGCTATCTCACTTAAATACCATGCCGAGGGCATCCAGCACATCATTCCGCCCGGTCACATTATACTGACAACGGGTGAACCAGTTGTCGACATTACCCTCAATGCTGAACGTTAAGCAGGGCTATAACAACTCCCATTTTTAAGGACTTTGGTATGTCCCGGCCTGGGGACAGAACCCATTGCGCCTTCCTCACCTTAACGAACGTTATACATTAAAGCAAAAAGTGAGGTGTTGCCAAGCAAGGCGCTAGAAAATAAAAGGTAGTTAGAACTAGAGAGAAATACAGGTCCCAAATTGAATTATTTTGGTGTTCCCTAGTAGAGGGCTCAAATGCAAATCCCCCATTCAGCAGGGTGAGGGGGAGGGCTCCCACATTAGTCGCCTCTTACGATACTTTCTCGATCCCTAACCTGTAGTGATATCTTTAGAATTTATATCCATTCGCGACATACACGTGTGTAGGTTGATAATACAAATGAACACATAACTGTGTTTTTTTTTTTATATCATACAAATATATAACTTCACAACCTTTAAAATATGTTTATGACTTGGTTTTATTTAAGCCATTCATTTTCATATTGTCCTGACCAGTTATGTTGGTGAATATGCCGCAAATATAGGCAAGTAAGCAACCAAACGAAACACAACACTATCGGTGTTCAGAGACGTATAAAGCCATATGTTTTACCAGGATAAGACTTGATTCATAGATTTATTTCATCGTAGTCAAACAAAAATGAGAGTCGTTGCATAAATATTTCACAAACAATTACATAAACATTTGTAGCAAGATAATACATGATCATGCAGGTGTATCACACGTTAAGCTTTATCTATCACATAAAAGAATTGGCTAATTTGCAATTCAACGTTAGCATGCATACATTTACAACAAATTCTCTGAATAAGAGAAGTCAACTGTATCATATCAGGTTTTAAATCTTGTGAACATTCTGTTGTTAAATAATTCTCAAGCTCTTTTCTTAAATAGTGTTTTTGTAAGCGACAGATGTATCCGATACCTTGCCTGTCAAAAATAAAGAACCACCCGAACCATTTAAATTCTGTGTATTTGAAACAAATTAAGGTAGGGTACCACTACTCCAGTTATATGCTATAATCGCGAAGGAGAGTTCCACTGAGTTTACTCGGACTGTTCTCCCTTTTACATAGCAGATGAAGCCACCAAAGAAGTGCTTTTCTGGCTTAAAGTAACTTTTTCTCGCCGCCACGAAGTAGCGGAAGCGAGACTAAGGTGTTGCTATTTTCCGGCGACGGCGTCAACATTAAGTTTATGCGTTTAAGTTAGTTTCACTGAAAGTATTATAAGTGCTACCACAACCAAACTTTGACCATGGATGCATCTTAGGTAGTACATCTCAACTCATGCATCTCCATCAACACTAAGTTTAGTTTCTCTGAAACTATAATTGTTATACCAACCAAACTTGACATATGTATTGATGGTCAAAGCGGGGTACAGCCAAGACAAATCAATCCGAATGGCTTGTTTTTTTTTCAAATATACTTTAATTTGTAGTTCATAAATTATGACACACATTTTTATGTTGTGAATTTGTAATTCCTGTATGGCATCATTGGTAAAGTGCATGCTTTGCAGTTCAATGCTCCTGAGTTCGACCACCGCAGTATTCTTGCTTTTCTTTTTTTATTTCCGTTTTCAAACATTCAAATTTCGAATTCTACAATTCTTTCCAATGCATGGCAACATGCGATTAAAAAAATTGTTTTAAGAATATGGTTTTAATTAAGTCTAACTTGGCGGTACCCTTGACTTTACACCTTATTTGATTTTAAAATAATTGTTTCGCCGTCTTTTCATCAGTCAAAATAAGTTTATCTTTTCTTGCTCCTCGTTGAAAATTACGTACTTCGTTTACTTCTGTGCTAGTTACACTTGACTATTTTTCAACCTCGAACTTGGCAATGGAGCCAAGCCGAGCTGCAGTTATCGAAATTACGCAAAAATTCGAATTACATAGAATCGGTCTTGCATCGAGTCAAGAATCTCTACGTATGGTCTGTAAAAAATGCAGATGAGAGTTGACCTTCTATATAAAATTTTCAGCAAAAACAGCCAGTCAAAAGTGATATATTCTAATTGCAATGTACCATACTGTTGGTTTTGTAGTTGTATCGTTGGGCTATGAAGATTTGTTTCAAAATTTCCATTTTTATTCATTTTTTTCGAGTAAGGTTAACAAAAGCATAATGTTTTGCCAATAAAACAAGGTAATGATGACAGTATAATTGGATATTGCACTAAGTCGATCCTTTTGACTACATCGTCTTAATTTTAGAGCTGAGGATCCTTACAAAAAAAAACGACGACAAAAAAAAATCAACAATACGAAACAAAATAAGAACAAGGATTTCGTCGCAAAGTCAGATATCGACATGTGTTTCAAAAACAAAATATGAAATTCCTCCAATCGAATACCACATGAACATCTTTCAAAAAGGGTGTGATTGCGTATAAGTTTCCCTTTGTATACTCTACAAAAATAGTATATACTATATGTCTGTACATCTATAGATAGATATCTTTATTTCCTCCATTATGATGAAGGTTATAAACATATATGCATACATTCAAACATTTAGAGATATCTCGCTTTAAGAGTTATCGTCAATAATAGTTATGTTATAGATATTGTAATCGTTACTGCGGGCAGTAGGCCAAACAGCTAATCACTTAGTATTTCAACTAAACTTTTGGTCGTGGCAGCAATGCTGGCGCTGTTTTTCAGCATGACGTGATTCCATGCGTCTTCTTCTATTAGGAAACAACTCTGACAGCCTAGTATTATTGTTGTTGCCATGTCGGTGTCCTCTAGTTCAGAAAACTTTATATAGTTTATGATCTATATGATCTAGGAAAGTTCTTCCACTGTCAAAGATAAGTATCACTTTATGAAGTAGTTCAGTTTATTTCCTATTCCTCACACACGATTCAACCTCAAAACGCTAACCTGTAAACGTTCAATCTCGGTCACTTAAAATGTCTCCGAGCACCCAGAGACACGTACGCACACGTTCTCCGTCATTTTCAAACCAAGAACTTTATACATATTTTTCTATATTTAAGTGGTACAGGGGAAAATACCCATACTTTACTGAGATGATGATTTGGAATTGATGTATTTGACGTATTCCATGGGTACTGAAAGAATGTCCATTGTGAATAATTCATGGTGACGCATGCGCACATGGCGTTTTCGATAAAGTGAACCATGCAATAAATAGTGTTTTATCCACATGTACTTTCACAACCCATATCTTAGAAGAGAGCAATTATACATAAATTTGTATGAGGAATAACGAAACCAGAACTCCGTTTAGGGAGAACGTCCGGAATATCAACTTCATTCGGAAGATGAAAACTATTTCGGAACACTTCAGGAATTTACCAAATAAGAGTTGGCCGTCATCACAACTATCAGTCATTGCACATTCCCTGGTTCCACTCTGGAAGACCCTCTGATAGATCAAGTCCGATTTCGAGCCTTTCGCTGTTTGACCAACGCAAAGTGGTCGACTGGAGACATAATGACTGCCGTATGAGAAGGCAAAAGCTCACGAGAGTGAGCAATGTGTACGTCTTCCAATCACGTGATATATATATTGATCCAATCACTAATGTTGTTTCGGGAAATGTATACAACAGTACGGGTTTTATACAGCCGTGCTTGTCGTTCCTGCTGGATTGGATTCACGGAACATCCGTAAGAAAGTGTGATACACAAATTCTTTTTCGTATTATTCATTGGTCATTGGAACGTATTTGTCAGAATTTACATTATGCTGCACTTCCGCTTATTCTGTTTCTTCCGCGATACACTCCCTGTACCGGATGCGGAAAGGCGGACATCTGAATGCTTCTGGGAGATATGAGCTGAAACAAAACATAACCACAATGTGTTATCATGGGTTCAATATTTATCAATAGTACAGCTTTTATTCATAACCGTCCTAAGATATTTATTCATTATTAGCTCTTCTTAATACTCAGTAATTTCTTATGTTAATTGTACCAATGTCTACCCAGAGTTTTTGTTCCTTTCACTACGTGGGTGTAATGAACGCCAATTCTGGGTAGACATTCATTTTGTATAAAAAAATATATGCTGAAGCAGACAGAAGACCTTCAATTTGTAAGTAAAAAAATCAAAACTGTTCAGTGTTATAAACACCGTGAAGCGAAGAAAATGTAACTATTGATTCAAAAAGGGACACTCTTTCAAATTGTTTAAACAGATGTGAGGTGTAAGGTACATGATGTAATGTGCAGACGGTTGAATAGAAGAGCTAGAAGAACAAAGGCGATGCAGAATTTTTAATTGGACCAGACACTTACCACTCCATCTGTCACTCTGTGCGTCGTATTTGTATTCAGAACATTGGCCGTGGTCCAAACTTATATCCCACCAGGCAGCGCTTACATATCTCTGATGAAATAAAATTCAATACATTCACTTAGTTTTCGCAAATATATATTTTCTACAGGACGTTCTGTACAGGTCTGTAGGTAAGAGAGGGGACAAAGAAGAGATCATTGTTTCTTTCGAAAAGAAAAGAAAAAATTGGACACAGCTAACTTAAGTTAAATTGCATAGTATAATTAGTTTTCTTCTAGATTGTGAACCATGTGAGAGTTCATTTTCCACGAAGACGGAGCTTGTGATAAAGTATAGCACCAGCGGTGGCTTAAATTGGTCTCCATATTTTGGCGTCGACTTTCTGTTTGCTGATCAGACTGGCTAGTATTCAAACTTTTGCTTCGGTTTTAATTATCATTAATAATTGTTCATGACTCTTTTTAAATCCAAGCATGATGTCGTTAGGTTTCTGTACCGTCTGGAATTTAGCCAACATGCGCAAATTTCTGCGCGATTGCGCTCAATGTTAGGTTTCCGTACCGTCTGGAATTTAGCCAACATGCGCAACTTTCTGCGCGATTGCGCTCAATTTGAATAGTATGGTCCACCTTAAACAAATTATTTAATGTAGGTTCAATTGAACGAATACATATTTCAACTTGGCAGTACTCGTTTTGTATGTAGATGAACACACACCTTTATCGTTTCCGCTTTCTTAGCTCCGCCATCACCCTCCACTCCCTCGGTCGGTTTTGTATCCAGCTGTGCCATAAGCTCTTTCGTATCTCCGGACAACTTCCCTTCCTTTTCTAGCTCTTCTGTGTACGCTTCCAGTTGTTCGGGGGCCGCCTCCCTGTAGCACACTGCAAACAACAAAACAACATCTACAAAAGGTCTACACAAAAACAGCAGGGCCTGGAGAGTTATCAACATGTAATGCAAATAGTTATTACATGTTTGCCTGTTAAATGTATGATTTAACGGCGATAATTAAGTTGATACTTTTCTACCGTGATAAATTTCACTTTTCATAAGTGTCACACGAAACCGACCAACAGGATTATCAGTAAGAACAGGCTGCATGCCACAATGACTGACTCAGCTCTGATTTTGGCCGGTTCAGATCATCATTTTAGAGCGAAAGTTAGCATAACCCCTGGAGTATCCAGGCTGTATAAAATAAAGCATCGTAAAACGCCTTACCTGCCAAGAACATTTCTGTTATAAGACTGAAGTGGACAAGTTTGAGCAGACACCCTCCCGTCTCCTCTGACAGCAGACCGTAGAAATGTTCTGCAGGACTAGTGTATGCTTTACAATAAACGCCATACACCTACAATATACAAATACATATCATAATCACATGATGGGGAAACAAAAACCTCATGTTCTCCTCATGCGCACGATTGTCTGCAGCAATATTTCCCTTACTTTGATAATTTGATATTTGATTTCTGGCACGAAATTAAAAACATATTTTGCGAAACTTCCTGAAATAAATAATAAGATTGAACTACACAACAATAGTGTTCTGAGTGTAAAAAATCATCGAGGCCAGACCAGGATTCAAATCATTGACCCCGACCAGTATACTGTCACTGTAACCAACTGAGCTCAACGGTAGTACCCTCGTCTGTGTTACAGTTGTACCAAAAAAACAGTGGAACTCTCTAATGTTTTGCCTTCAGTGGGTAAGGGATCCTTAACTCAAATATACAAAAACAAATCGCAATATATGCAATACCAGAGACAACAAAACGTTCCAGGTATATATGATTAGTACATATGTACCTTGACTCCCATGCCTTTAAGGACCTCCATTTCTTCCCGCCAATTGATGCGCTGGTCAGTGTAAGATGGTGGGTGTGGTTCACAGTCACCGATGAGGACAAACGCTTTTGCCGAGTCTTCAGACCAGTCGAGCTGTTGTGCCTTTCGTAAGGCCCACTCGTAGCACTGAAAAGGATAGAAAACAATACATTGCAATACAGATCTCTCACGAACTGTTCTACGTTATGATGGAGGTAATGCTGATGCTTGATATCGGGTTTTTTTACTGGCCATGGTCGCTGTTTCATTGGAAGAAGTGGGTAATATCAAATGTTACATAAGGAAGCTAGAGTATTCTCCCTTTGCCAGGTACTGGGCGGCAAAACCCAAATCGGAGAAATAGTTTTAATATTACTTTTTTAAGTATCCGACTCGCTAATAATTTCAATACGTGACCTTTTGTGAAGATACCGAATGAAGCAGTTCACCATTTTTTACAAGTTTTATTATTTTCCTCTATAAAGCATAATCCTTCTATAAAAAGAAAAGAATATGAAAATACTATTGTTTTTTTATATTGTTATGACTTAAATTCTCTTTTATAAAAAAATTCTAACTTCTGTCATTATAGACCGTAAAAGAAAGAGATCTGAATGAACTCTCACCTCTGGGCTATCGCCACCGCACGTGGATGGTGTAGACGTGGCAAAATTGACCAGCTGGTCTACATCTGACGTCAGGTCCATTGACTTGATGACGTAATCATGCTGATCACAGTAATCACCGTGGGCCATTATGCCGATCCTGATTCCGGGAATGTCCCGGATAAGCCGAGTGCACGTGTCTTTGATGTTCTGTCGCACCTATTGAACACAAAAGCCAAACGTCACATATATTACCGGCAATTAAACTACAAGAAAAGTATAGACACATCAATGATGTAGTATTAGTAAATGCCAATTATAGCACAACCTTTTCCGCTATCATGTAATGTTTTTCGCTCAATTTATCGCCAACTCCCTTTAGAACGCCAAAGTTATTCTGGACAATGACGGCAGTATAGCGAGGAGCTACTGAATACATACATTTACCCGTATGCTTGGATCTGTTTACGATCTTGTTTAAACGTCAAATTTTAGGTATCTAGTTGTCAAAGAGGTAATGTAAAATATTCCAAACAAGTCCAGTTTTACATGTAACGCACATGCAGTGGCTCATCTATTAGGCCATGCTAAAAATATTTCCGGTAGCCCTTCATTACCCTATGTTTTGTTAAAAGAAAAATGATAATAAATAAAATCTGTTATCCTAAATTTCTCAAACATTTAACAGGAAACACACTTATCTTTTTTTGTCTCAATGTATATATATTACATGTATTTGATGTATATAAACTGAATATAACACCAAAAAAAACTTGATAAAAGAAAAATAACAACCCAACCCAAACGTAACCTAAGGACAAATAAACAGCAATTTTAATACCAGCAACTAGTACATGTAGTTTCATTATGTTATTTAACTAAAGGGAGATAACTTACCGTGGTCAGATTTACCGCCATACTTCCGGTGGTGTCAAAACAGAAAACCACTTCCACGTTTTTGCCATTAGTGTCAAAACTGGAGAGTACGTCCTTAAAAGAGAGAGAGAATTAATGACTTCAAAGTTTAATGGGTACCGTTGTCATATCAGTTGTGTTTTCATGTGTTTTCAAAGACGATTTTTGACGATAAATAAAAGTCTGTGTCTGATTTATTATTTTTTCAGTTCAGGAAAGTATTATTTTGTTTCACTTAAACCATTGCAAACATGTAAAGTTTCACATCGCCATCTAGTTTAAAGAATCACAATCAGCACGCTTAGAGTTTCCACTTTTACTGTTACTGCAAATTAAGTGTTTCTATAATTATTATAAGGATTGAAGCGCATTTTTTTCCACGTTCATGACGCTATGAACGCAATTCGGTTACAAACATATTCAATGAAGCCAGCTAGTTAGTTATCGTTGACCAAAAGAGGTGTCTATATGTCGTCAGTGCAAACGAGCTTCCTGGAACAGCCTAACGTCACCAAAATGTTTGCTTCTAACGTTAACGGTTGTCTCATGTTATTCGAGCGGGAGGAGAATGTTCAAAATGACGCTTATCAAATAATGTTCATAGCTATATGAACGCAATTACTTCTGGTAATGCTTAAAGAGGTACTTGCGTTGGAAATGTTAATGTTTATATATATAGAATAAATACAAACTTAAAAAAGATGAATACGATATAGTATCTAGTACTAGCCGTCCATAATTATAAAATACAATATAAATTACCTCTTTCAAAGCTTCCGGTGGGTCCTCATTTATGCTATCGGCTGGGGGTAAAAAGAAGAAAAGAATTATCACGTGAAATAATCATGTTTGCTTGCATGTGAAGAGTTCGCCTGCGATTTACACCTTGACCTTAGTACGTTGCTTTTATTTCACAGTACGAAACAATACGGTGTCAGACAAAAAAGTAAAACCTCAATATTGTGCTCTTTGTTTCATTTCCCACCTCGCATACTTTATTGTCTTTTTTTTATAATCGCGAAGAAATGTTCCATTAAGTTTTTATTTTACTTGAAGTATTCTCCCTTCTACATAGAAAACGTAGAAGCCAAAAGAGGTGTTTTTCTTTTTTCGATCTGGATAACTTTTCTGTCTCCTCCAATGTACTATGATTTTCGTAAATTTTGCAGCCAATTAATCAGATCAATTACTCTTGGATTGCAACATTTGTAAAGTATAGGCGGAAGTTTGTAATGTAAAGGTCATAAGTTCGACCTTTTTCTGTTTTCCGCATGAACAAATATAATTCTACAATTCGCCTTTCTACGGGAAATAACATCCGAAAATGTTTTGCAATAGTGACAGTGGTATTTAAATATTTAAACTTGTTGGAGCTTTTATATACATGATGAAAGAGCTTTGTGTGAAGAATTATTTTGAAAGGGACATCAGTAAATATTTCACAATAGCAATTTGGTTTAAGGACGTGCCAGGTTTTGGTGATGGAGGAAAGCCGGAGTTCCCGGAGAAAAAACCATCGATCTACGGCCAGTACCTGGCGACTGCCCAACGTAGGCCTCGAATCCGCGACCCAAAGGTAGAGGGCTAGTAGTAACAGAATGTCAGACACCTTAACTACTTGGCCACTGCGACCCCTCACAATAGTGACAATAGAATAACATAATTAACTTATTGTCCAACTAATGTATCGGGTATACACGCTATGTGTGTAGAATGTGTTTTGAAAAAGACTTAACAAATACAACTGTAGTTCAAAATATTGACAATGGTGATAATACATTTTAACTTACTGGTAGCTTAAGTTTCGTTCTCGCAATAACAAATCAACCCCTATTTAAATGCAAAAATTTGATCGGGAAAATGGCAACTGTAGAAAGAGGTTAAACGTTATACTGCCACTAAAAATGTATGTACGTACCTTCCGGACTGTTAGAGGGCGGTTCGGACTTTGGCCCGCTGACATCTAAGATTGACTCCTCCTTTGCGCCTGTCTCAAACAGAAGCTGGTCGTTTCGGAGTACTCTAGGTTGACCTGCAATCTGCAAGATACATGCACAATATGTAGGGATTCACATGTGCCAATCTTGGTATGTCCCGGTCTCGGGACAGAACCCAATTGAGGAAAACATACCAAAGTATATAAATATAGTAGTTATTCCCCACTAACGTTCAGCATTATACAATGTCAGTCAAATGAGACCGGATGAGATGATATATGCTTGGTGCCATCGGCATGGCATTTCAGTGATGTATCACTATAAAGTCGGCATCAGATCGACGCTAACGCAAGGAGGTAGATACACCAACACGCTGCCTCCACACTCATGGAGGCACGTTCTTAAATGTTTCTCGTAGGTTTCTCGTAGGTCAGACATCTTTGGAAATCTTGCAGCCTGTTTTGATGCCTCTTCAAATTAACAATAACTTGATTATTTTCTGGTGTTTGCATACGCGAGGTTAATTTGATGTTAATAGGATGCTAAACCATATAGATTCAAACCAAATCAAAACATTCTGATCTGTTCATTTTACTAATATACTTATTACTGGATAACAATTAACTCACACTATATCTCATTTTGATCAGCCAACCATGCAATGGCCGGGTTAGAAATAATCATACAATGCTTTGGATTGGTTTGAATTGATATGGTTTTAATAATACGAAACATCGTGATATAATGATTTAATTATGCGTGTATAGGAATCCCTTTTCTCCAATTTGAAAGCAATGTTTTGGATAATAGTTCAAATTGATTTAATTGTTTTACAACAATTATACAACAATAAAACCATCGGCTCAACTCTGCCTCAGACTCCCGTTCCCACTTAACTTCCTCTTAGTTCCCGCCCTCCCTATCCTAGTTGCCTTTTTCTGGGTATCCGACGACGACCCAATACATTCCTTAATCAGTAATTCGAACCCAACCCACCTTTGATATAATGCGATTAGGATAACCACTGCTCCATGAGGCCACCGAAGAAATAACCTACCTTTAAATTAATGTTGGTCGTTGGGATGTCTTTCACTTCTTTTATGTAGGATTTAATGCTTGATATTTCATCCACATTTTGAACATCCATGGTAATTGTGTGACCGTCCTCAAATCTCAGTATAATGGATATGGTTTTGGGGAACACTATCTGAAATACACGGACGGATGAACCAGCTATTGCATAAATCAAAAAATACATCAACCAAATAAAGAATGAAGCAAAGGAAGGAAGGAAACGCCGTTTTTGTCGACAGAAAATTAATAAAGAAAGAAAGAATTACATAACGTTTTTGTCAAAAGAAATGAAGGAAGGAATTTGATACTGTTTGTTGGACGGGTTTTTTTTGTATTTTTTTGTATTTTTTTTTTTGCGAAAAGGAAATTTCGGACTTTAGCAAATCTATTGCTTGAATTACAAGACAATCTTAGTACTTCTTGGGAAGAACTAAGACACTACTTTGTCATTTCTTTTATATTTAACCATCACAGGGACTTGGAATTTGGATGGTTTTTTTAAAATACACATATATGTAATTAGTCTACCTAATGCAGAAATCAGACTTATCATATATAGAGGAGCCCTGTGCAGGGTGAAATTAGCTTGTTTTTCCTCTGAATTAGATTAGTGCTATCTAGTAAGCATTAAGATTCTATCTTTTTTATACTTTCTTTCTTCACATGGTTATTTAAATATATTATCTATTATTATTATATAAATGTGAACATGATCGCCGTTCTGCATAAACAGAAAGTAATAATATTAAATTAAGTACATGCATAGTCTAATTAAATATTTATTACGGTGCATTGAAAATTAAAATGCATTTCTTGTTATTCGATATATATATATATTGGACGATTCTTAGTATCAAGCTCTTATTCAGTTAAATGTCTACAAAATAAAGAATTCGGTGATATTATTCTGTTATTAACGTTTAACTTAAACATGCAAGTTATGTATTGAAACAAGCTTACAGTTATAGCTATTACAACTATGCAACCTGAAAATGAAGAAAAAAAACGACTTACCTCCCCTTTGAGTATAGTTTCCGGTCTGATACCTAGGTAACCGATGGTCCTTGTTTTATCAACTAATTTTCCCTGGTACTTAAGGCGAATACGCCTCCCTGACACTCCCTCCTCCTTGCCAACTTGGTCGTAGATTTTGTTTGCACTGTCGGTCGGCATGAGAGCAAATGTTGAGGTTCTGCCATTAGGCAGTTTTACGTAAACATCAACTAAGGGGGAAGCCATGGTTTCGGTTTCTGAGCAGGCGACAACTAACTTATAAAAGCCGGCTTGGTAGGCCCAGCGAAGTTCTAGATAGGGGAACTGTAATGCTTCGTAACTTCGTGTTGATATAGGTCTGTTGTCAGAATACAAGTCCTTCAATTTCAGACTTTATATATATTACATGGTAGGCCGTCTAAATATAATAGCCAATCAAAATCCGCTTATTTTAAGCTCATCAGAGACTTTCTTAAAATAGAATTGTGGTGTAAGGCAATGTAGACTTGCTGATGTTCCTATGTTATATATCAGATCAAAAAGCAAGGATATACAGATATACGTTCAATACGAAAATGACATAAAAATCATTAATGGGATTTTTAATAGATGATTAAAAAAAATACACTGATTCTGATGCAACTTGACAACTTAGCATATTGTACTTTCGTTGGTCGATACTTTTAATTTCCATGCAATATTCAATTTTGTTCAATATGTAGATATTGCACTACAAAGCTGGTCAAATGAGTGATTTGAATATTTTCTTGATCTCGAAGAAGAGGGAAAATGTTTTTTTCGAATGTTGTTCAGATTTGAATATATTTTTTTCCTATAATACTCCTCATTGTAAAAAGAAAGGTCCGTTTGCAATTATAGTTTGATGTTAAATGGACTAAATCAAAACATGAGATTAATCATTGTTAGAAAAGAACTCGGCCTGTGCCTTTTCAAATTAACAACCATATGTAGATCATGATAATTGACTTTATATTTGAAACAGGCCTTGTCTGGAAAGAGAGTGTATTTAGTAGCACTGGCTTAAAATTGGAAAACCGATCATTAGGGGAGACCAGGGCACGTTCAGCCAATTCTTTTCATTTAATGTCGTTCGGGGTAGTACTGATATACAGTTCCATGCCTGTCATAAAATAATAAAAAGGGAAAACAAACAAAAATATAAGTCCGTATTTCAAGAATTATTAACTGTGTCGTAAGATTGAATGGCCAAACGTGTCCCGCCTTGGGGCATGTTCGTCGAAACTAAGTCGTTAAGCAATCAATTAAGGAATGCAAACACGTGCTTTTTCAGGAAAATACTCAAAAGTTGTATGTCTTGTCCTCAAAACTTACCTCCTCCTCTTATTTTGTTGAATCTGGAAATCCAAACGTGGCATATAGTGACAAAAAACCCACCTGCAGTGCTTTTATAACCACTTTTCAGGGACGTATAGCACTATACGTCCTGCACTTTTCTACCAACTCTAGTATTGATGATTCTAATGCAAATTTACCTGACTTCGTGATAAAATGTGCGAATTCTCTAAATGATATTATTTTAAGCGTTGAAGTTGTTAATGGTATTTTATCTGTTCGTTATATTGGAAAAGCTGTAGAGCCTGATGAAATTAGTCACCGCAAGCTTAAATCAAACTAGGGCAAGGTCACTTTCTTCTCCCCTCGCGATGCTATTTAATCGTTCTATCAAAGAATGTTCATTTCCTGCCGATTGGGGAAAAACACACATTTTACCTCTATTTAAGAAAGGCGATTGCCACCTACCGGTGAATTACAGAACATTTTCACTATTAAGTTGTGTTTCCAAGGTAATGGAATTAGGTGTACCTTTTTCAAATATGTATTCAATTTTGCAAGAGACAATAATATGTTTTACAAATATCAGTTTAGATTTTTACCAGGTCATTCTATAGTTTATCGACAAGTTACATTACTTTGCCAAATTATTGAAACTCTAATTGTATATCATTTAAAAGTCACTGAAGTGCACGGGTACTGGTATGCAAATAATATCTATTTCCATGTATGTCTATTAATGTTACTTTCATGTATAAATAATATTGTATGTAGCATGCTGTCCATTGCAGTATTGATGCTATTATGTAATTAAGGACGTTTTTAAGATGCAATGATTTGAATTATTCAAATAAAATACGTTTATTTCATAACATTGTTTCCGCCGTTGACAGGAAAGAATATCCGTGTGTTGTGTTTTGTGACCTTTCCAAGGCATTTGATAAAGTTTGGAATAAATTAAGGATTGTTATTCAAACTTACTTTTCTGGTTCTCTAGTTATTTGGCTAACCGCCAACAATCTGCTTTGTATGGAAATAGCCTATCATCTCTTTCATTATCTATTTGAATGCAATAATATAACTTTATCCACCTCACGTAACAAATATATTCCTCGTTATTATTGCACCAACCCAAATGTGTATAAGTTTAAAGGTCTTTTATCTTTATGCAATTAACGAGTTCTGACAGGTTTATCTATTTTCCTAACCAAAATGGCTCCTCTTTTGTGAATGATGCATATGTATAACTGTTAATAGTTAAATAACTTGGGAATTATATGTATGGTTGTTTTTTATGTTTGCTTTGTATTTTCCATTGTATGTAATATCATGTTACTATACCGTACCTTCAGTTATACATGTGTATACAAATATGTATATTGTACTTCATTTTCCATATCTGCAACTTTATTTCCTCATGTAACACATATTATGTGTCTGAGTGTCAATACAATCTTGCTTGTATACATGCATGCACCTGTCCATCCTGTCAAAATTTAATATATGAATTCATGTACATGTACCTCATGTTACACATTTCCATGTATCTGAGTGTTGGAAATAAAATCTGAAAATCTTGAGAATGTCACGGCAGGTTGACCGCAGGGATCTGTTCTCGGCCTTTCGCTATTCCTATTTAACATTAATAATCTCGTCGACCCTCCAACAACTTTCATTATATATTCTTTGTGATGATTCATCTCTCCAACAGTTTTCGGCTGACTTACATTTTATATAACAGAACCTCAATCATGATATTCAACGCTTACCTGATTGGTCTGATAAATGGCTTATAATGCATTTTAATCTAGCAACGGCAGAAGTAGTTATCTTCTTTATACTAAACAACTAGATATTAAAACCAACTTAACTTATAAAATTGAAAATCTTACATTCACTGATTCTCGCTGTCACCTCGGAGTGTTTCTACCTTTTATAAGATTCATAACATATATTAGTTCCAGATTATCTCTATTGTTCCTTTCAAAACAAATGATCGTCATCATGATCTTCGTAACCCACGTAACTATCAAATGCCAAGATGTAGATTAGATGTGGTCAAAAAGTCATTTATCTCCTTTACAATAAACTTATGCATGGAATGGACTTAATAATTATGTGCAAAATATTGCATCCACTTCTGCTTTAAATATGAAAGTGTCACCTAGGCCACGCGTTTTACCAGAGTTTTGTTGATTACGTTCGTGCATTATGTTGTATGACTACGCATATTGCTTGTTTCCAGGTCACCCCACTGGGGCCTGTTCGTTTATGTGGAATAACCGGTTTGTTTGATTTTAGATGTAATATTTTCGGGTATAAATCCTAGCGGACCTGCAGATGTTTATGCAAGCCTTGCAAGGCTCGCCTAAAAGCAGCATCAGATTTCGGGGTCTCCCTTTTATTTCATAAATGAACAACTCTGGTCCAACTGGTTCGACAGTTTGGATCGCGATAAACGAAAACGGCCCACGAACCAAGCATGTTCAAGTTGCTCTGTATCCATAAAGACCTTGGAGAGAAACTGATGACTAAGGAAACTAGCTCACGTCTGCATATAAACTGTTATATTTGGAGAATTCACCTTATCATTTTCAAAATCACTGATTTAAGGTATGCAAACGTTAAACTCAATATTATTTTCATTATTTTTCACGTGACATAATATAGCGCGAAAACTGAATTGCTTCTAGCTGTCCGCAAGTGCATTATTCAATTGATATATATCCTGGCATTTTTTATTTTTTTTGAGAAAAATCGATAAAAGTTATTCGTAATCTCTCTTCTTCTTCCGGTTGATTCCACTTTTTGAAATCATAAAAGTAATACTTAAAATTTTGAAGGCATTCAAAAATTACATAACGGTGAAAAATATTGCCAAGAGAAACAATTGAATTAGTGCTGTTGAAATCATTTTTCTTTCCGTACGAATATAATCGGTACATTTGTTACATTTCATCTGTTTTGACGTCGTGCGCCGATTTGTCCCTTATCATATTCATGTCAGTTAAGAGATCACATGCTTCTTACATTTTGGTAAGTGTAACATAATGGCGACAGGAATATGAACAGAAAATCGGTCAGATGTCGACTTATGAATGTTACAAATCTATTTATAACATCTACATTTCTCAGGAAAAAACCACTCAACATGTTGTGGCAGTATATCGATTTGTAGCCTTAGCTCCATCAGATAAATTTATAGACACGCGTATTTTTTGACAGAAAAGTAACAAAGCAAAATGGAGAAATTATGCAAAAACTAGCATGTTTTGTTTCATTTTGCTCAATTTGAAATAATATAAAGAAAAACATAACTTAATCTATTCCGAAAATGTGTGAAGAATCCTGCGTTTATCTCTACCCCTGACCGGGGGGGTAATTTTGACATTAAATTGGTGACACATGCAGACGATATTAATATTTTACTCCCAAGATGTTGCTTTTCAACTTGACCAGGTTAGATGTAAAGTTGGCTATCAAATATTGGAAATTGTTTATGAAAATAAATGTTACAATGAACATATAGTAAAATTAATTGTGGTTTTACTCCAAATTGTGCAACTCAAGAGACGTTTATAACACACTGTATGAGTTACCCCGCTTCATGAAACTCTCCACATCGGCGGGAGTCAGATCACTTCTGGACTCTCCCGTGCTCTATATCTATATCCGGCTGTAAATAGTATAACTTGGGTGGTGGATAAATCTTGTACGCCGCTCCCGCTCCCGGACTAAAACCCCGTATTTCTCATAAACGCGATCGTTTATATTTTTTTATATGAAATTATACAATAATTTCAAACATTATTTTTTAAATGTGACAGTTACAAAATTGTTAATTAATCATTTAAAAATTTAGAAATCGACGATAATGTGTATTTTAAGGGGGTAAAACTTTTATTCCGCAGTCAACCGTGAAATCACGGCTTTTCATATTTATCATGTTATTTTCAGATATATAGAACAAAATACCTTACCTTTTTTAATTATGTAAGTTTCGTTGAAATAAACGATCTATTTCACATGAAATTCTGACTTTGTTGTGATCTTTGTTGTTCTACGTGATAACGACATAGCTTGACAGAGTGATGTCCCCTTAGCACCGGGTACGGGAGTAAACGAAACACCCGCGATCACAACAAAGTCAGAATTTCATGTGAAATATGTCGTTTATTTCAACGAAACTTACATAATTATAAAAAGTGAGGTATTTTGTTATATATACCTGAAAACAACATGTTATTTTTCTCTAAATATCTAATTGTAGGCCTATGTGGGGAAAAAAAAGTGATTTTCACGGTTGACTGCGGCGTACAAGTTTTACCCCCTTGAAATCCACATTATCGTCAATTTCTAAATTATTAGACAACAACAATACAAAAATTACAAAAACCCGCATTTAGAAAATAATGTTTGAAATTATCGTATAATTTAAAAAAAAAAAGTATAAACGATGGCGTTAAGGAGATATTGAAGTATCTTTATATTCCTGGTACGGGGTTTTAGTCCGGGACCGGGAGCGGCGTACAAGATTTACCTACCACCTATAACTTGTAACGGAAATGGCTGCCCTTGGAAGAATGTACAGTCGATTAATTGCTTGTCGACATCATAATGCAAGCTTCAATTTTAGTAGTAGTGTAGAATGCTTGTTTCAAACTATGACTGTACAACACAGTTCATTGTCAGTATCCAGTGCACGTGGTAACGATGCAGACCACGGAGTTCTCTTATCACAGAAGGTGTTTACCAGAAAGGATTTTGTTCCGACTCTATTCATCGGCAAAGAAGGAAAGAACATAAAAAGACTCAAAGAATTGTGTGGGCGTGAATTCAAAATAACAATGAAGGATCGCCATATACTCGTATCTGGAACTGATGCTGAAGGGGTGAAGCGTTCGGTAGAAAAGGTAACGCAAGAAGTACAACGGATTGAAATGTTGCCAAAAGTAAAGGTGTTGACAGATGAGGATGCTGGTGTTCATAGAATGATTTTCGGAAGAGTCTTTGGGAAAAAAGGAAAGAACATTGAACGATTAAAATCAGAGACAGATATCGATTTTCATATCATTAACGAGGAGGTTGGGTGTATAGTTGTCCGTGCCGTTAGGGATGATTTTGAAGACGTGAAGATAGCGGAAGAAATGATAAAGCAGGAGGTACAAAGAGCTAAGAATCAGGTCGTTCCACAATTCACAGAAAATGTGTTGACAGATGAGGATGCTGATGTTCACAATCAGATTTGTAGAAGGATCATTGGAGATGCAGGAGAAAACATGAAACAGTTGATGTCAGAGCTTGGACCTAATATCAAAATAGACCTCCACAAATTTGGTCGTATAGTTGTCTCTGGGACTGATGCAGAAATGTTGATAAGAGCAGTTGGAAAATTAAAACAGAAGGTCCTTACAGCTAGGAACATCTTTGTTAATCCCTTTACAGGAAAGGTGTTGACAGATGAGGATGCTGATGTTCACAGTCAGATTTGTAGACGGATCATTGGAAAAGGAGGACAAAGCATTAAATATTTGTTATCAAAGCTTGGACCTAATATTAATGTGACCTTTAAAGCTGGTCAGATATTTGTCTCAGGATCGGATGCTGAAGAGGTGCAGAGAGCTGTTGAGATATTGAAACATGAGGTCCAAAATGTTAAGGATGGGGTTGTTCCACTACCCTTCACAGGAAAGGTTTTGACACATAAGGATGCCGATTTTCACAGGAAAATTTGTGGAAGGATCATTGGAAAAAGAGGAGAGAACATTGAACAGTTGACAGCAGAGCTAGGGTCTTATATTGAAATGGAATCAAAAACAATTGGACATATAGTTGTTGGTGGGATTGATGCTAAAGTTGTGGAGACCGCAGTTGAAATATTGAAACATGAGGTCCTTAGAGCGAAGAGTGAGGTCTTTCCACAATTTGCAGAAAAGGTGTTGACAAGTGAGGAGGCTGATGTTCACAGTCAGATTTGTAGAATGATCATTGGAAAAGGAGGAGAGAACATGAAACAGTTGACTAAAGAACTTGGGCCTTATGTCAATGTGGACCTAAGACAACTTGGTCATATAGATGTCTCTGGGAATGATGCAGGAGAGGTGGAAAGAGCAATTGAAAAATTAAAACAGGAGGTCAAAAGAGCTATAAACATCATTGTTTATCCCTTTAAAGGAAAAGTGTTGACGGATGAGAGTGCTAATTTTCACTTTGAGATTTGTGGAAAGATCTTTGGAAGAGAAGGAGAGAACATTAACCAGATGACATTAGAGCTAGGGTCTAATATAAGGGTGAACACCTCAACAGCTGGTCATATGGTTGTCGCTGGGACAAATGCCGGAGTGGTGGAGAGAGCAGTTGAAATATTGAAACAGGAGGTCCAAAATATTAAGAATAAAGCTGTTATACCATCCTTCACAGAAAAGGTGTTGACACATAAGGATGTTGAAAAACATAAAAAGATTTGTGGAAAGATCATTGGAAAAGGAGGACAAAACATTAAATATTTGTTACCAAAGCTCGGGCCTAATATAAGGTTGGACACAATAACAGATGGACATATAGTTGTCTCTGGAACTGATGCTGAAGAGATAGAGAAAGCAGTTGAAATATTGAAACAGGAGGTCCAAAACATCGAGGATGAGGATGATGCACTACCCTTCAGAGGAAAGGTTTCGACAGATGAGGATACTGATGTTCACAATAAGCTTTGTGGAAAGATCTTTGGAAAAGAAGGAGAGAACATTAACCAGTTGACATCAGAGCTAGGGTCTAGTATAAGGGTGCACAGCCCAACAGCTGGTCATATAGTTGTCGCTGGGAGAAATGCCGGAGAGGTGGAGAGAGCAGTTGAAATATTGAAACAGGAGGTACAAAACATCAAGGATGAGGATGATGCACTACCCTTCACAGGAAAGGTTTTGACAGATGAGGATGCTGATTTTCACCGGGATATTTGTAGAAGGATCATTGGAAAAGGAGGAGAGAACATTAAACAGTTGACAGCAGAGCTAGGGCCTAGTATTAGGTTGCAAATCCAAAAATTCGGTCATATACTTGTCTCGGGGACGGATGCTGAAAAAGTGGAGAGAGCAGTTGAAATATTGAAACAGGAGGTCCAGAGGGGATATAATAAGTTAGGACCCTTCACAGAAGAGGTGTTCACAATTGAGGATGCTGAAAAACACTCAAGGATTTGTAGAATAATAATTGGAAAAGGAGGACATAAAATTAAAAATTTGAAAGCAGAGCTGGGGTCTGATATTGACTTAACACCCATAAAAAATGGTTACATAGTTGTGTCTGGGACTAATGCTGAAATGGTGGGGAAAGCAGCAGAAAAAATAAAACTGGAGGTCCAAAGAGTTAAGAAAATGGTTGTTGAATCCTTCACTGAAAAGGTGACAACAAATGAGGATGGTGATATTCACGCTAAGATTTGTGGAAGGCTCATTGGGAAAGGAGGATGTAATCTTCAACTTATGAAATTGAATTCAGGGCTCAATTTTCACATAGATGTTCCAGACATTTCGAAAACTCCATACGTATATGTCTATGCAAGTAGCATGCAAGTGTTAGAGAAAGCTGTAGAGGTAGTAAAACACCGGATAGAAACAGTTCGAAAAGAGATAATATTAGATTCATGCAAGAGTTTGTATGAGGATTGGCACATGAAGACAGAAAACAGTTGATTTAGATACCGTGTATGTTGGACATGTATTCGTTTTTGAGACTGTTGCTGAAGTGGTATTAATCGAGAGCAGTAAAATTTGCAGTCCCCAGTTTTACAAATATTCTTGACACTCGATGAACTATTGGAACTTTCCAAAGATTTTCAATCGGCAAACATTTTGCTCTTGTTTACTGTTAATGAAAAATTCCTCAACCTAGGACTGTTTCTTGACTATTCCAGTCATGCTTTCCAATAAAAAGAATTTAAGAATTTCCTCAAGTAAAGGAACATATGTGAAACTGTACAGAGCTAGGGAACTTTAACTGTTTTATATCAGAGTGGACTGAACAAAAGTTAATATTTTGAACTTGAAAAATATTCAAAATTGTAAAAAACATACATGTATTATAGGGCCATCCTTAAAAAATTGAATTAAAAATTGATTGCAGTTTCCGTACTCTTTTGATTTTCATTGGATAGGTAGGTATTATTTGTTTATATTTGTAGAAATATTTCTATATAAAAACCCAATGTTTCAGTGATTTTTCATCAGGAAATGTTTTTTTACAAAGTTCTTAAGAAGTTAGACAAGGTATCATTTTTAATGAGTCGATCAGGAATATTTTTAGCAGTTCAAATCACACTTTGTCTAGCTGTGGTCCATTTAATTGTCCGTCCTTCTACCCTTAAACAATTCAAGTTAGCGCTATTCCTCAGAAATTCGTAAATTTCATGTAAAGATTCCCCATAGTACCCAGTTACGCATATCAAATATTGAGACTGATTAGAAAACCAAGATTGCCAACAGGCTGCCAGCCATCTTCAATTTTGAGAGTTAAAGTTTGTTATCACTATTTCTTAGAAAGATCTGGAGAGATGTTTCTCAAATTTAGCTTGAAAGTTTCACATGGTGCCTAGTTATGCATATCAAATATAAATTGAAACTGATCGGAAAACCAAGATGGCCAACAGGCAGCCATCTTGAATTTTGAGAGTTAAAGTTTGTTTGTGCTATTTCTCAGATTAATTACTGGAGATATTTTTCTCAAATTTCACCGGGTCCAAAGGACCAAGGTGAGCTTGTGCCATACCGTGCCCTCCGTCATCCGTACGGCAACAATTTCTTCAAACGACTTCTCCTTCTTAAACACTGATTGGAATTTAACTAAATTTAGGTGGTGGTGGGGATTCAAAATTGTACAAATGGTAGGGCTGAGGTGTTGGGGCAATTTGGCTATATTACATTGAACGACTTCTTCTGTAGAACTCTGCACTTGATATCGATCATATTTGGTCAGAAGCATTCATGGTAGGCGGGGATTCAAAAGTGTACGAATGGAGAGGCTGACCCCCCAAGGGGCTGAGGGGCAGGGCCAAAAATTATTTGGCTATATTGATTTAAGCGACTTCTCTGGAACTAAGAGATGGATATGATATATATCAATCATATTTGGTTGGAAGAATTCATGGGAGTTGAGGATTCAAAATTGTACAAATGGTGGGGCTGACCCCCCAGGCTAAAGGGTGGAGCCAAAAGTAGTTTATTACTTTGAAATGGTTGAGATCCCAACCATACAGTATAACCTTATAGAATGCGCATATGCTTCCAAGATGGCTCTTGGGTTTGGCCCCACCCTTAACTTTGAAACAGATGAGATCCCCACATCAAAACTGTATATTCTAATGCAGGACATAAAGAGACGAATGCAGTCATGATATTAGGAATAGACCCTTGAGTCTGGCCAAACCCCTAGGGACCTAGTTTCTGAGTAGCAGCTTTGAAACAGTTGAGATCCCAACCATAATGATATACAATTGCCGAGTTTAAAAATAAGAATGCACATGTACAGATGCTTCAAGGATCGCTCTGGGGTCGGCTCCACCCTTAGAGACTTAACCCTAGGGTCATAACTTCGAAACGGTTAAGATCCCCACCCCAAAACTATATATACAATTGTTGGGCATAAAGAGACGAATGTAGTCTTGATATTAGAATTGACCCTGGGGTCTGCCAAAACCTTGCAGACTTAACCCCTGGGTCATAACTTTGAAACGGTTGAGATGCCCACCCCAAAACTATATATACAAATGCTGGGCATAAAGAAATGAATGCAATTATGATATAATGATTGATCCTGGGGTGTGACCACAATGCTAGGGACCTAGTTTCTGAGTCGCACCTTATGAACAGCTGAGATCCCCACCCCATAACCATACATAAAATTGTCATGAAAAATCTTATACAGATATGCTACAAGGATTAGCTTTGGGGTCTTGCCCATTCCCTTGGATCTTATTTTGAGAATATTTTGCCATGATTGCTTAGATATCAAGGTGAGTGATACAGGTCCTCTAGGCCTCTTGTTATTTTGAGTTAAAGTTTGTTGGCGGTATTCCTCAAATAGAACCAAAAGTATCTTTCTTAAATTTCACGTAGGGGCTCCTCAGAGTCCCTTATTATGCTCATTGAATTTTTGGACTGATACGAAAACAAAGATGGCCACCAGATAGCCATGCTGAATTTTGACAGTTCAATCTTGTTATCACTTTTATTTCATTTGTATGAGTACCCTCGTCCCTAATGAGAATTAATGATCGTCCCTCATTGACAGCACTTCTAACTTTTTTTTAGATTTTTTTTAGCATTTTGCATTTACCAGGTAGTTATGCAATCCTTATAAAGTAACATTTGTCATATTGGCAAAAAAACAAATGACATAACAAGGTTTAAGTTAATGTACAAGATTCTTGTTAAGGATTTCCAAGATGGGATAGAGTAATAGTGCATGTTAGGAAAATGAAAAGCAAAGAAGGTAAAAAATCATCTTTTGTAGATCTGATAATTATATAAAGATCCTATGATGGTGGGCACCAGGATTCTAGGATCTCTTGTTAAAGTTTATTAGCGCCACTCTCAGAAGTTACTGGAGGGGTCTTAATCCAATTTCACATTAAGTTTACACATGGTCCTTAGTTATGCATATCAAATTTGTGTACTGATTGGAAAATTAGGATGACTGAAAGGCAGCCATCTTGAATTTTGAAAGTTAATTAAGTGATCTTTTTCAAATTTCGCATGAAGGTTCCTCTTGATGCCTAGGTATGCACATCAAGTGTTTTGACTGATCAGGAAACAAGAGGGGCGACAGGCAGCCATCTTGAATTTTGAGAGTTAAAGTTTGTAAGCTGTAGTTCTTGTATGAATCTTTGATTAAAGGTAGCCATATCAGGTGCATTTATTCTTATAATATTGGTGTTATTTCTTGTAACAAACCAAATACAGATGTGCTACAGTATATGGAACCCCAAATGTTCGTGTGCGGGGAAGTTTTAAACATTATTGCTCATAGCATATAGTTATTAGGTCACCTGAGCTTTAGCTCAAGTGACCTATTGCTATCCGTCTTCGTCTGTTGTCGTACATTTTTTTAACTTAAGCTGAAATACTGTCAAAGGGATTTAATTGATACTTCATGAGAATGTTATTGACAACTCCCTGTTGTGTTGTTATTTTTCGGGTAGATCAGAAATCCAATATGAAATTTTTTGAAAAACTATTTCAAATTTGAAAGTAAAGTTCTACTAGGCTGATTTAAATGAAACTTGGTAGGAATGATAAACACGTGGTCCTGACAAAGTGTTGTTATTTTTCGGGTCGATCAGAAATCCAATATGGCCGCCAAGGCCGCCATTTTGAAAAACTATTTCAAACTTGAAAGTAAAGTTCTACTAGGCTGATTTAACTGAAACTTGGTAGGAATGATCAACTTATGGTCCTGACAAAGTGTTGTTATTTTTTGGGTTGATCAAAAATCTAATATGGCCGCTAGGGCTGGCCATTTTAAAAAACTATTTCAAACTTAAAAGTCAAGTTCTACTGGGCCAATCTAACTGAAACTTGGTAGGAATGATCAACTTATGTTCTTGACAAAGTGTTGTTATTTTTCGGGTCAATCAGAAATCCAATATGGCTGTCACATTCGCCATTTTAAAAAACTATTTCTAACTTAAAGTCAAGTTTACAGGGCCGATTTAAATGAAACTTGGTAAGAATGATCAACTCGTGGTCCTGACAAAGTGTTGTTATTTTTTGGGTTGATCAGAAATCCAATATGGCCACCATTTTGAAAAAATATTTCAAACTTAAAAATCAAGTTCTAATAGGCTTATTAACTGAAACTCAGTCTAGGAATGATCAACTCATTGTCCCAACAAACTTAACTTAAAGATATATATACTTAACATTTTTTACTCAAATTTTGGTAGGGATGATTGACATCATTATCTCCACTTCATATTTCAACAACAAAAATTAATACTGTAGGACTCAGTTGACCGTTAAGGCCCATGGGCCCCTTGTATTATGAGCTGTTATTTCTCACATTTGTTCAACAGTAGTTATGTTAAAACCAAATGAGCGAATCAGGCCAGTTGGGCCTCTTGTTTAAAGTTTCTATTAAAGCTCCTCCCGACTTGGCTCTTACTTATGCATCTTTCATTTTGGGGAGGAGGGATTTAAATAGTGTTCGGTATGATATGAAAAACATTGATACAAAATGATTTCTCGTGAAGTAAATTTGGGTCAAACATCAACTTAAAGTGATTTTAGGTCAGAAAATATCTTTCAACATGTTAGTCATGAATAGCCTGTCCAATTATTTGTGACAATTTCAAGTTTTACTTGTTATTGGTGATTGACCTAAAACAACAATTGAGAGCCTGAAAGGTTCAGAGTGAATTAAGACTCCCCTCAAAGTTTCCCACAATGGGTTCGAGACCCACGTGGGGCAGTCGACAAGCACTGGCCGTAGGTCGATGGTTTTTCTCCGGGAACTCCGGTTTTCCTCCACCACCAAAATCTGGCACATCCTTAAATGATTATAGCTGTTAATTATATATAGGACGTAAAACACAAACGAAACCACTGTCACATATATATGCTCCAAGTTATGTAAAAATGGCGACACAGGTATTGTCGGGTTACCCGAGTGGGTGCATTAGCTTACACTATCGAATCCTGTAAAAGTAGTTAGCTCGTTTGCTCTAACAATTATAACCCAGGTAACTTCACTTTCATTGTGACAGTAGTGGGAACATTGGTTCCTCGGTATTGTAAGTTATGGATATAAGCCGAAAACTGTCCAATAAGTGAGAGAAAGGGCATTTGTCGAGGCCCGTTAGGTTACACTATACAATGTAGGTGGCATAGAATGTCCTTTGAATGGTTATGATAGTGGTCGCATAATCTGCACCCTCTTGTGTAACTGCATGGGTTTCACAAGATGGTGGGGATATAATAAAGGGCGAGTAAAATGGGACCCTTAAATCCCCTCCTTGCACCCCACCTCCAGAGGCAGTGGGAAAATATGGTCTAACATTTCCAAAAACCTTATCCTGCTGAACTGCTAATGTTTTCAGCAAACTGTTTTCAATGACAGAAATTTCTTTGTGATTTATGACACTACTGGTGAAATTCATAATCACAGGGTAAATATTAACCTACAGGAAGACCTGAACCAGCTACATATATCGTCAGATACTTTGCTGATACAATTCCACCAAGAATAAAAACAAAAATACAACGCCACCATATTTGAATAAAAAGACACCTGTGAAGAGGGATCATGATAAAAAAGTTCAATCGGGAAACTTCGGCACTTTCCGTAAACGAGAAAAATATTTTGTCGTTTACAGAAGGTGCCGACAGTCCTCGATTGGATCAATTCCAAATTAAAGTCATTTTGGTAAACCCTCGTGGTGATTTTTTTGGTTGTCTAACCCTCGGGTTAGACAACTAAAAACAGTACCCCTCGGGTTGGAGATTTCTCTGTCACACCCTCAAGGTAGGGGAAGATTATATTAGTCCCTTTGTCAGCCTGTGTCTGATACACATATTTTAAAAATGATGAATTGTATTGAAGATGTCAGAGATGGCAAACCTAAATTTAGTAGTCATATACATTAGCTTGAGTTTCTTCTGGCCCTGACACCAAACTTGGACATTTTTAACAGATAGATGTCTGGTGCGACACCTATCTGTCAAAATGTCTAAGTCTGGTGTCAGGACCAGAGGAATTTAAGCGAAACTCAGGCTACATAGGTATATACATGAATCGGTCAGTAAAGCAAACAGGATAATTGGAACAATTAGAACAACATATACATATTTAGATGCATCAACTGTTTGTCTCCTTTGAAAAGCGCTAGCGAGACATCAGGAATACGTACAGAGCTAGCATTTGGGATTCATATATATACCTACAAAAGGAGATTTATTGAGGGTGAAAATGTGCAGAGGAGATCAAGCTGCAATAAAGATACCAAGAATGAATGATCTAAGTTATCAAAACAGATTCAGGATTCTAAAATTATCAACTTTAGAACACAGAAGATTGCGAGGAGATCTGATACAAGTTAACAATCTAATTAAAATTAGACTTGTAATTCCACAACAACCCTCAGGTCATGCAACCCTCGCTGTCCAGCACTCTGCGAACAACCCTCAGGTAAGAGTTTGGCTATCCAGCACTCTGCGAACAACCCTCGGGTAAGAATTTGGTTTTCCCATTGCTCGACAGCCAAACTTTAACCCGAAGGTTGAAACTTTACTGACCACACCCATGCTTGATTCTTTTTCTACCATATTCGAAATAAACATGCCAGTGTAAATCAACTACAGATGAGTTCATACACATGTATTCCATGGCAGGAGAGTATGAATACAATCATGTTAATGTTATCGGGGTGATGAACCCTGCACATAAAATCAAGAAATCCATTTAAAGCACGAAGTTAACAATAATGTTTTCCTTCTGTTTATACAAACTTGGGGCTCCTTTGTCCAAAGATGCTCTAGAACAAATTTGGTCAATATCCTTCAATTGGTTGAGGAGAAGAAGAAGATTTTTAAAGATTTACCGATTTTCCCCATATTTGGCCACGCCCCTTTGCCCCCAGGGGGTGGGGGGCATACCCTCTGTTTATACAAAACTGAGAACCCTTTGACCAATGATGCTCCAGACCAAAGTTGGTCAAAATCCATTCATCGGTACAAAAGGAGAAGGATCTTTGATGTTTTCTTCTATTTCCCATAATGGGCCCCACCCATCTGCCCCAAAGAAGGGGCCCACACACCACAGTTTATACAAAACTGATTTTTTTTCCCCTAATCATGCTTAAGACTGCATTTGGTTTAAATCCCTTCACTTGTATAGTAGGAGAAAAAAAATCCTCTATTTCCCCTATAGGGCCCCGCCCCACTGCCCCCAGAGGGGCCACATCCTCTGTTTATACAAATTTGGTCAATACCCTTCAATTGGTTGAGAAGAAGATTTTTAAAGATTTACCTATTTTCCCCCTATTTGCATTGGCTCTGCCCCAAGGGGACCATACCTTCCGTTTATACAAAACTGAGAACTCTTTGGACAATGATGCTCCAGACCAAATTTGGTAAAAATCCCCTGAGCCGTTAATTAAGGACTAGCAGCGTTGAAAAAGTTGACAGACGACGGACGCTACGCCATGGCATAAGCTCACCTTTTCCGAAGTGACGGGAGAAAAGATATGGCTGCCAAGAAGGAGAGGTATCTTTTTCTCCAGCCAGTACTCGTTCTCCCAAAAATAAACAACTTGCCAGAGCATTCACGCTTATTAAACTATATGGTTTCGTAGATTACAAGATTTTCAACAAAAGTGGTACGGAAATTGCATGATTGAAACAACATTCAAGCTGATTTAAACACATTGAAAAATTGGTCTGTAACTAGATTTCAATACCAACAAATGCAAAAGTTCACATAACCACACAAAAAGATACATGTATGTATATATATATATATAAATACAGGCTTGACCAAGTGGAAATATTATAATCCGAGGAAGACAAAGACCTTGGAGTTACATTAGACACCATGTTAAAATTCAGTAAGTATGTGAGAAACCATATATGATATAGTCTGAAGAATCTCCTAGAAGAGATGAAAGTACTAAAGACTCGTTGTTGAGAATTTTTCTTTATGTAATATTTCTTCTTTAAAACTGAATTTTGAGCATTTCTGGTGTCACTGATTTGTAACATTATATATATACCGTAGTATTATATAAAGGGTCTTTGTGGTGTTTTTTAACAATTGCACGAGGCCTAGACGTAAACGCTATTGTAAACTGAATTATAGTTTATTCTTTTTTATTGTGACACATACATTAGGAGAACTAATATCTTTATTGGTTGCAATACATCGGCCTCGCATACATGTAGACAATTCTTATCCGTGTAGCACTGATGTACGTCATGATCCAGCTTCAGATGTAGATCTAGTATGTAACATTACCTGTCGTATATAAGTTTCTCCGTTTTTATTTCTTTTCATTCACAGGTTTTCATGCAGTGTTTTGGCGCTGTATGTAAAAAATAAACTTTTGTCATATATATATATATTAGCATGAAATTTCGTTGCAAGAGTAAATTCATATGATAGATCTAGAGTTGTTTCCCTTGGTTTTTAATTAGGGGGCGTTTGCGATCTCACTTCCTCTATGACATCATCATGGCGTCCGGACCTGACGAGTAAGAGGAGTTCGATGTACTTGAGTCATGTTATTAATGGTTGCCAAGATATCAGCCAGCCAGATGTAGATTATCTGAATAAGAACCATTTGTTGAGATGACTGAAGAGAAAACAGACGCATTGAGTCTAACGGATGACGAAGACAATGAAGATTCGGATTATGAACCGGCACTGCCCGAAATTTCGGGTGTACTCAGTAAATGGACAAATTACTTGCACGGGTGGCAAGATAGATACATAGTGTTGAAAGAAGGAACTCTTAGTTATTACAAATCCGAAAATGACACAGCGTTTGGATGTCGTGGGGCAGTCAGTCTTGCGAAAGCGAGTGTTTCGGTAAGTAACGAACACTGTCACTGACAGTAGTATATAGGCCTAGCACTGTTGTGTAGTTTCTTCACGGGTCAGTGAACGTGGATTTTCGTCTCATCAAGCGTGAACATGCACAGGACTGAAAAGTGTGTGAATCCTTGTTTTCTTTCTTTTTGACCAGAGGGTAGAAGATTTGCAATACTCTAGGACACATAAGCATGCCATGGCCAGTTTTCTTTTAGACAAAATATTTATATCACTTTCTCGTGTGTAGTGACTGTACCCCTTCCAACCACAGCCAGGAGTTTGTTACAAATATCTGAAATACACATAACTTTATGCTATACTGATATGGGTCACAGACTCACAGCACACATACACATGTGCTATGACCCATATTCGTATACAATATGTGTATTTGAAACATTTGTAACAAATCCCTTTTTCCAACCCAGTGGACCCTCATGTCACTTAGTGTCAAAAAAATATAAAACTTAAAGGAAATAACAGGATGGGGAAAACCACTAACTTGCATATAACACAAAAGTCACTTTAAGCTTAACTTTTTCAAATATTGTTTGTCCAAATCACATTTATTTAGTTGTGAAACATCATACAAATGCAATAATAAACTTTATTTGCATGTGGGAAAGTACCAAAAATAGATGCAATACTTCCGGTAGAGTTGCATCAAGATTCTACATATAAGTAGCCAACGCTTTCAGTAAACAATAGCAAAATATTAATTACCTTGTCGTAAATTAATGCGATTTTTAATAATATATTGCAAAAGTTACTGTTTAGGATGTACACCACTGAGAAGTCAAAAATGTCCTGTCTTAAACTTTTTTTCTTATATGGATTTTTGGAAAAAGGAGTTAATGGCATGCATAGTAGAAAATGCAAACAAAACTATATGTCCGTGTGCTCGTTTTTGTGCTATGATCGGTCAAAGGTACCAATTTAACACAACATGTGATTTTAGGTGATTTTTTGGGTTTTGACCATTTGCAGAACAAATTCATACAATTTCTTCTGAGTGTGTTATCAGATATGTATGAATGTTTTTAGAATTGATGAAAATATATTTTCTTTTAAGTTATGGAAGTAAAATTTCTGAATCTTATTCTTTTAACTCAGAAAGCCGATTTTAGTTACCCCTACCCCCTATTTTTTAATGAAAACTTGATCATAATTTGTTTAATATTACAAAAACCCGTTACACCAGATCAAAACGAGACTTAAACATGATTGAAACCTCAGAAGAGTACATCCTTAAAGCGACTTGGGTTATTTTTAGTAACAAATTCTTACTACAACTGGCGTATAATAGGCGAGTTTGCGTATTATATGCAAGTTGGTGGATTTCCCCAACCTGATTAAATGTTATTTCCTTATAATTACATGCTGTAAAGAATTTGATGATTTTACATATTGTCATGCATAGGGCAGTTTTAAATGACAATATTTTTCGTCTATGAATACATAACTATATCAAAACATGAAAATGGCTACAACCATGTGCCAGGTGAGATATGAATCAATCTGGGAAAAGGCCACATGGTAAAATTATGATTTGCCTGAATTAAACACAGGCAATGCAACACTCCAAATTAAATCTAAAATACATCAGCTGTATGGGTAAATTGGATGTGATAACATAGTTTTCACAAGGGAAATACCCTATTAGATGAAATTTGAAAAAAACCCACTAATAATACTTGTACTTAGTATACATGTAGTTTCCTACATTTTCAACAGTAGCACACATGTTTATGAGTACATTTTATGCAGTAACAAAATTTATCAAGCAGGTCTAGATCTGTTGTTGCTCCTGAAATATGTATTTTTGAGACCATTCAGTTATCTTCAAAATAAAAGTGAAACAGGAGAGGGAAAATGCATGGCCATACTGGGTTTCAAAACTGAACCCTCCAAACTAATTAACTGTTGGTGAGTTCAATTTAGTTGAGCTTTTATACATTGTCATCAGTGTTTGACTCAGTCCAGTTCCACTATTGACCTTTGTTGAAGGGAGACGTATTGTTCATTAGTACTGGTTCTTCTAGTTCAGGTTCTTCTGATATGATCTTTGTCTGGGCCGTTAAAGATGTCTTGATAAGACTTGTAGTATGCCTTCATCACCCATAGACGATGTGCAGTGCACTGTCATTAGGTCATTGTAACCTTGACCCCAAGGTCAAAGGCGAAAAACGTATTATTGTTTCAAACAATCAAAGGTGTATGCCCAAGTGATGCCAATGGTCCCTCACTGTGTCTAATTTTGCATATAAACCTAGAGTATGCAAGTAAATGATGGCCATGTAAACTCTATCCAGGCACCATTCGCGACTAGGGGGGCAGTCCATCACAATTAAAACGATTAAATGTTCATATAATACATATATGGATTTTGTAATTTAGCAGTATGGGCAGTTCCTCTAATAATATGGTCAAATAAGTGCTAAGCTAAAGATATCCTGATAAAAAAAACTTGCATTATTATATTTGCATCACCATCATACGATGTACATTGCACTGTGGTTAGGTCACTGTGAATTTGACCTCAAGGTCAAAGGTCAAATAAGTGTAATTTTTCTCAGGAATATCTTGTCCGGGCGGTACATTTTAAACCGTTAAAGGGGAGGTTACTGTACATTTATATATGAAAAATCGGAGTGCAGATGGACAGGGATCCTTAAGTATTTCAAACTAGCATAAATCTGTATTTGTTATATATAGTGTACCAGTGATTCTTCTAGAACTTTTAGACAAACAATTCACAATATGTCGTGGCCTGCTGCCAAAACACTTAAAAGCAGATGAGAGCATGTGATCAGAGATTTGTGAAAACAAGTAAAAAAATGTATGGAATTTTGTGCCAGGTTCCTTTTAGCCTTGATATCTCAATGAAGAATGCAGTATTAAGTGAGTTACAAACAAAGTTTAGATGTTTAGTAATCTCAGCTGTGCCAAGTAAGTTATCAGTTAAAATGAGGCTGAGGCTGGACTGTATCATGTGAAGGCAATGTTATAGCTATGGGAAGGTGTGACTAGCCAGATGTTTGTTGACCCTAGGCCTGGCCACTTGGCCGATAGTGCATCAACACATCTGGTGGATAGCAATGATACACTGTACAAATTACCTTGTGATGCAAAGCTGAAATTACAAATTTACTAGGTAGATCTTTGTTATGCAGTGAGATTTATTGGTCAATTTTGATACTGTGTTTCTTGGTTCAGTCTCCTTTGGAAATAGTATTTTTTCCCATGTTTCCACCAAAAATTGTATTTTTTAAAAAATGATACGCACATTTGTCCGATTCCAAAGCTCCAGGCCCGATTCCCAAACTCAGGAATATTTTTTTTCTTTTTTTCTTTGTGCAGCAGAAATAGCCAAAATAGGGTGTTTTGGAACAGTTATAGAATTGTAGAAATGAAAGCCTCTGCATGTGACAAACAAAATATCCTTTCTACGGATGAACACTGGTATGACGATGTTTAAACATGTCAAATACTTGTTTGTTTAGTGCTGCATGCAGAGGTTTTCAAAAATAGATTCATAGATCTAATTTATCAGCTTCAAAAATGGACAATTTTCAAGGTAAATAGCACACAACAGATCATTTTTTCATGTAAACCATGAGTTTATACCTCTCTGTGTTATATATATTACCATATATCTCATATACCACTGCCTTGAATTGGAATACGTTATCACTGAACTATTATTGTATATTAATTTTGGTGGTTTCGTGGTGTTCATCTCCTAAACATAAATTCAGAATTGTTAAATAACGTTACATTTTTGTTGTGAGTTAACTTCTAGATTTTCGGACTACAGACCAGTGTTAGATTTTAGAATTGTTTGGTTTTTGTATGGTGAGTTTTAAGACATCCAGGTTACACATCCAGATTTTGAGAATTTGCAAACAGCGAAAGATTTTGAGGGTCTTAATTTTACTGAAAAAGACCCTTTAAAAGTCCCTAAATAAGCCTTGGATTTCATACGAACCATACATATATATATATACATTTTGTATATAGCTGATATGAATGTCATCTGCATTAGATTGGTAGGGTTATAACAAAGAAGCAGTGTAATATTACAGGGGTGAAAATTGAACTATGATAATTATTGATTGAAACACTAACACGTTAGTCCTCCAGTCAAAGACGAGTAGATTTCAGCAAGGACTAGCACTAGCAGCAATAGTGAATCCACATCCTGGTCCTTAGCTTTTGGCTTGTAAAAACATATTTTTTCACAATACGATACGTATATACTGCAATTTTGTATTTGATAGATTATGAAGTAAATATAATCCCTTTGGAAAAGTGCTTAAAAAATAGATAAATTATATCATAGTTGTCATTTTTCTTAAATCTTGACCACATCTATGGCCGTTTATATTTATGGCAGTAGTTATATATATTTTATGTCCCAGGAAGTCAATATGAATTACTTTTTATGTTTTGTTCCGGAGATGTTCCTTCCTTAAGAAAATTTTGGTTTAGTTAAATATTGAAACATTTTTTTTGTTTTTTTTTACGTCCTATTAACAGCATTTAGTCATTTAAGGACAAGACAGGTTTTGGTGATGGAGGAAAGCCGGTAAGGCCAGACAAAAAAATATATGTGTTTTCTGTAAAGTGTTGGAAATATTTAGGGTAGGTAGGTAGGTAGGTAACAAATTTTATTTTAACAACACTTTTATATGGTTTATATACAGGAGAGTGATCTTGACTTTAACAGTGCTTCTTTGAAAATTGCTTTTAAAAGTTTAGGGTAGGTACCAAAAAAACGGCAACCTGACGCCAGGCCTTTAACCCACAACCTGGTGGTGGAGGGCTAGTGATCCTAGACGGTCAGACACCTTAACCACTTGACCACCAATTAAGACCCTATTGAAGTAGGATTAGCAAATATATTATTCAACTAGTCCTCTGGACTGCCAAGCAAAAGTAGTTAGTGTTTAACCCTGATGTAAACATGTACATGTATAAATATATATAACCATTCTATAGGACACGTCTTGAAAGTGTTTGCAAGTACTTGATAATATTATGAGTTAGACTGCATGTTTTTAAACTTGTGTGTTGTAGCCTCACCAGTTTGACGAGTGCCGGTTTGACGTGACGGTCAATGACTGTGTGTGGTACCTGCGGAGTGGGTCGGAAGAGGAGCGACTCCAGTGGATCAATGCCATCGAGTTACACAGGGTATTTCATAACATAGAGGTTGAGGTACTTGTCCTGAAGGAGTCACAACTAGTCGATAACTCCCCTCTTATCTTGCATTGAAATAACCACCATCTCTCCTTTCAAACAACTTTTACACCTTTAATTTTAAATTATGCACTTTTTATTATCCCCCGCAACTAAGTTGGAGGGTAGGTGGGTGGGGTTAAACTGCATTGAGGTTGTCTGTAGCTGTTCATCCATCTGTAGTAGTGTCACGATGATGGATTATAATCAATATCTAATCAGAAAGGCAACCGATTCCCGACAATCGATTATGAGATGTCAACATCGATGAACGTTTTCTAAACTGGAAGTGCGAGTTCAACTTTCATTTTCATTAAGAGAGAACGGGAGTTCTATGTCATTTTACTCTTAACTATAACTTCTTACCAATCATGTAATTTAAACACAATTAATTGCAAAAAATTAAATGATAACTGTTCACCAATAAAGATTGTTACATTTCATGAATAATAAACGAAAATCGATCGGTTGACACTAACCGATTATATCCGATCATCGATGTTGAAATCTCAACTGATTCCCAACACTAGTCTTTAGACACAACCTTGTTTGCACTACTCCTCCCAAAGTACTCTACCTGTTTGAATGATACTTGGTATGAGAGCCCTTATAAGGACAAAGGGTTTTATAAAAGTATATGAATTGGAGTAACACCCCCCCCCCCCTATTATTATTGATCTTTTGAGAGAGAAAAATGCTGGCACTACTTGTCCATAATTCATTCACTGATTTGAGTGATAGTTGATACACATACCACTTGATATGTCGAGGGAATGTGAAGGAAGTATGTAAATTGGAGTTGATTAAATTTCCTATTTTATATATGAAACTATATGCCCCTTCATGTAAAAACTTCGTTTTGCACCACACCTCCCGTCGTACTGCAATAATTTAAATGATTTTCATTGCTCTGAATCCTTTAATTTCATTTCTTGGATGACCTACTGTACCTTATTTTTGGAGTTATGCCCCTTGGTTTAAAAAAAAAGTTGTTTGCACTAACCTTCTCAAAATACTTCACTAATTTAAATGATACTTGATCCTTAGGATCATAATATCAAGGGGATGTGAATAAATGAAAATGAAATTCACCTCAGCACTACCTTATAATGTTTATGGAGTTGTGGGCATGCCCAGTGGTTAAAACAACATTCTTGAAAGACTATTCCTGCAGTTCTTGGTGCAAATACTAAGGGGATAGTAGCCTACTGTTTTTGCGACAGTTCATGGTAGTGTATTTTATATATAGAATTGTGATTTGTTGTACAGTAGATTTCGCTTAATATCATTTCTCATTTGTCAGCTCTAGGAACACATGTATTAACTAGAGCACGACATAAAAAGAAAACATGTTTTTCCTGACCATTTCAGATGTCAACCTGGAAGTGACAATAATTAAATGTCCAAGTGATATGGTTTTACAAAGAAGATCGTTTAGTAAAAATATTTATAACTGACCCAGCTCTTCTTTATTAACAGGGAAATAATCGTCTTTTATTTGTTTATTTCATTGAAATAGGTTTTATGTGACAATCTTTATTGATAAACAGTTATCATTTAATTTTTTGCAATTAATTGTGTTTAATATGTATCTTGCCTTCATTTACCATTGGTTTTTTTTGTGACAGTTACCAAAATAAAGTGATATTAAGCAAAATCGACACCAAAACAAGTGATAATAAAAGAATTGAATTACATTAGATTATATAGCAGGAAAAACAGTGCATCAAGAAAACATGATAATAACTGAAAGTGACATTAAGATACATGATATTAAGTGAAATGTACTGTACTTACATATGTTTGAATACATGCATGTGTTCATTTTTTTCGCTCCATGTCTGTGTTATATGTGTTCATCTGTTTGTTCAATACCAAATAGATATGTCTAATGTGTGTTACAAGTCTGTTGGGCATGTCCAATAAAACCGTTGAATAACTAAATTTGAACTTCAAGATAGGCCCCTTACCACTGCCAAAAAATGAAACTGTGCATTCAAAACTTATTTTTTCATCATGACTATAGCTTTGATAAATCATTTATGAAAAGAAAAGTATACCTTGTGGGACTTTTAAGAAAACATAATGGAGATGAACGAAAGAAAATATAAACAACTATTGAGTTCTGAGAGTAAAAATAATCTGCGGGGCCAGTCTGCATGGGACTCGAACCCTGGACTTCAGTTTGCTATATACCGTCACTGAAACCAATTGAGCTACTTGGTCAATGGAGTTTGCTGAGGAGAATTAATTTAATGAACTTGTAAAGTTTTATCAAAGTTGTACTTAAACTAGCTATAGGGCGGCAACGATAAATCATACTGTACGTATCGTACAGTTTGGCCAGGACACTTCCATTGACCAAGTAGCTCAATGACTTAGGGCAATAGTATAACAATCTGAAGTCCGGGGTTCAAACCCCATCCCAGTCTAATTAGCCCTGCTGGACTTTTACACTCGGAACACTGCTGTTGGTTATATTTTGTCTATGAAATCTTTATTATTTTTTCATAAAAGTCCCACAAGGTTTTATTTTCTCTTCAGAAATGATTTATCAAAGCTATATATATATAGTCATGCTTGGGAAAACAGTTTCTAATGAATAGTTTTTGACAGTGGTACGGGGATCCTTAATAAAAAAACACCTGCCATATTCTAATCTTATATAAGGTTGTGACTTCTTCATGATAGACAAATATGTAGGGATCCTAAATCTGACAGTCATCCTGGTTATATAAAGGATTATATTGGACTTTACATATAATGTGATGATACTCATGTAGATAATTAGGGACTTTAGTTGAGGTGGATATGGGTTTTATATATACCTTAGAAATAGATACTGACCGAGAGGAAGTCAAGGTCAGTATCACTTTTCAGGTCCATATATATATAACTATATATTTATAGAAATGAAAGTCCTTATTTGCTATATTAGATTTGAAATGATGCGTTGTTTGTCATTTAACAAGATGGAACAAAAATCAAATGAACTTCATTTGACAGAATGCAATGTCACATTGCAATTGTTGCAATTTTTAGAAACCGCTGGTTAATATTTTTGGAGTCAATTGTCAATTTGGAGTCAATTGTAATTTGGAGTCAAGTCAATATCGCATATCAGAGACTTCCATGTGATTGTACTTTAACCATTGGGGATAGAGGATAAAAATGATGTAATCAAATATATAATAGACACGTCTCTATTTCATGGGTGTGTTCGGGATAAGATTCATCTGTTTGGTATGAATAATAACAGCTATAATTAAAATAAGTTTGTTTTGAACATATAAACAGGAATTGAAAACTTATTTTGCAAGCTTTCGAAAATGTCTGTTTAATCGGTGTCTCGACTCTAAACCGCTGAAAACAACTCACTGAGCCACAGTGTGCAGAATTAGTCATGTCAGCTTTCAAAAATCATATAGATATTTCACCCAATTGCACTCTAATACTACAGGTATGCAGTCGGGGGGACGGGTAACATGTTTACACATCCTGCCCCTTATTGGAAGCTAAAACGGGGTCACAAGATGACTCAGTTGGTGACCCCTTTCATCTCTGTTCTTTGTTTATTGAAACAAATTATTATTAATAATTAAGTTTCCTTTTCTGTACACGTATGTATATGCTTACTAGTAAATGATACAAGATCTATAGAGCGCTTTAGAATTTTAGGTAGCATGTACTCCGACTAGTAATGTCTCATGTTCTATGGAGAAATCTTTAGCTGAGCATGTTCTGTGCTTTATCTTTTCCTGAAGCACAATGTAAAAGCAGTGCAGTTTTTTTTTTACATTTCTAGGATTATGTTATCGCTCACTTTTTCTCTCTGCACCCCTGGAATATGTCATAGCACAATTGAAGGCATGCCACTAGCTGTTTCATTGGTATCAGGTAAAAAAAACCTGACCAGTCACTAGGCTGATACCTATCTTTTGATGATTACAGAAGAATGACACCCGACTTCAAAGCCAGTCAGTTTTACCTGGTAGCAAGTTATGCCACCAACAGATTCTTTTGATGCACATCAAAGGATCAAACTAGCCTTCTCATCTCATCCATAAGTTGGTGCACACTGATCCTTCAATTTTGCTATGACATATATTCCAGGGGTGCAGAGAGTGAAAGTGAGTGTACATCTGGAGTATCGAGGATGGGAATATTTAGGAGAAAAAGGCAGCTTAGTCAGAAAGTATATCAGCATATATAAAATGGTGCTAATAAGACAGCTTTTGGTATTCTGTCCTCCAATTCGTATAGATGATCTTGTATTTCGTTCATAATGTTTAAAGAAACCATTAAAGACGTGAATGGTTATCTGCCTTGTAGCAAGCTGAATCTGGTTATGGGAGTGAAAACAACCTCCGTCGCCATGGTTCCATGATATCCCTGACCTCAGCAGCAAGTCTGTCCACCGCCTCTACTTCCTCCTTCAAGGTGAGTCATTAAAAGTTTCAAGATCGTCTATATAAGTACAGTCAAAATTTTATGTTTCAAGCTTTGTAGGACCATCAGGAAAATTTCGAAACATTGCGACTTTGACTCACCAATGTTGACCTACACTGCATGAGACCGACTGTGTGATTATCAAGTGATGGAGGACAATAGATATTGGATTTAATATAATTAGAAAAAAAATGTTTACATGTAATTATACATTGTATAGTTTGCATGTTTAGGTGTTATAAATTGGTCCCGGGACATTTCAATTGTTTTGTACAGGTGACTGTTTTGCATATACTTCAATTTATCGGTTGTAGTTTTCAACATTTTCCTGACAACAGGACGTTTATTGTAGCTCAAACCAGTGAGAAATTTTACTATAAAAGTTCTATTCTTAAATGCGATGTCAGTAATGTTATATAAGGGAAATTCAAAAAACAGACTTTGCTGTCAGTCGGACAATTTCAGAAACTTGTCCCTCGAAGTTCGATTTATGGAAGTTTGACTTAAACTAGAAAAGCCTCCACTTTGATCTTGAAAAATCACAGTTAAGAATGTTTAATGAATAATGCCTTGAAATTGTTGTAGCGGGGTCGTGGTCTCAAGGAGAAGCTTGCCGAGATGGAGACATTCCGTGACATCCTATGTCGACAGATTGACACTCTCCAGAGCTACTTCGACAGCTGTGCCTCAGCTGTCTCCCAAGGTGCCATACAGGAATGTAAGCAAAATATCTTTCTTAGTGAGGAGCATAAATTGCCTTAGTACCATACATCCTCGATACTCTAGGTGTTTCACTCACTTTCACTGTGGCCAAGTGGTTAAGGCGTCTTGACATTCTGTTACCACTAGCCCTTCATCACTGTGTGGCGGATCTGAAACCGATGTAAGGCAGTCGCCAGGTGCTGGTCGCCAGTCAGTGTTTTTTCTCCGGGAACTCTGAACTCCTCCACCAAGAAAACCTGGCACTTCCTTAAATGACGAAAGCTGTTGATAGGACGTAAAACACAATCAAACCAAACCAAATCTCTGCACCCCTGGAATATGTCATAGCAAATTTGAAGACACAGGCCTGGGGCTAGCTATGTGTTTAATCTAGATCTCGGGTAGAAAAACTGACTTATTGCTAGGCTGATACCTGTCCTTTGAAGATTACAGAGGAACAACACCCAACTTCAAAGCCAGTCTATTTTATGATAAACGCCTGAGAAGTTCTTTTGATGTACATCAAAGGATCAAACTAGTCTTTGTGTCTTATCCGATTGTGTCATGACATATTCCGGGGCGCAGAAAGGGAAAGTGACAGTAACCCCTGGAGTATTGATGATGGGTACCAAATTCATACAACAATGTGATAATGTGTGATACAGTAGGGTAAGCTCAATGTCAGTCTTAGCTTTGATCAGCTCACCCTAACCCAAAACAAAACTTAAGGCTGAGGTCACAAATAGTCATGAACAGTGTATCATGGGACTATAAAACGGTGTGCTATGGCACCATACAAAAACAATTCTTGAATGTTTTTTCTATATTCATATCTATGGTTTTGAAGTTCAAATTGCAGCCTCAACTGCCAACTAGAAAACTGCATTTAGTCTGAAGGAAAATTCTACTGTGGAGATTGTCTCCCTTCCTTTGATTGTATTGGTTATAATCCTATATAGTCTCACACCTATCTTTACCATAAAATCATTATTACCCTAGGCTTGTGGTAGGGAAATATGTTTTATTGTTTCCCCGTCCGACCCCATTGATTATGTTTCACTGTGGCTGTGCCCATCTTGAGGGAGACAAAGAATTGTGTTTCCCTGCAACAAGGGTAGTAAATGTCTAGTAGTTTTCCTGTGAAGAGTGATGGTAACACACTAGATGAATAGAGACTGTATGGCTAATGATGAGTGTTTCCTTCTGTACAGTACTAAATGTATCTGTTGATTTTGCAGTGACCGACCCTGACGATATTGGTGACCCGGACGACCTTCATGAAAATGATGCTGACCACTCTAATGTCCACTTCCAGGGTCCAAGCGGAAAGGACCTAGGTAATTAGTATAAAGAACATACAGTTATTAACTGACAGGGGTAGAATCTGTATTTACATATCAACAAGTTATTAATGAAAGTGCAAGAAGATGTAGTTACCATATTTTTCCTGTAGTGAGGCCAGGAGGCCAACACAAAATCTCTGACTCAAGGGTAAGGGTAAGTAAGGGGCGGGGGGATCTTATTAGAGGACAATGAAATGCCATTTATTGGTATTTCTGCTGAACTTCAGTAGAAAATTATGTTGTTATTTTAAAACACAGAGATGAGATCTTAACAAAACCAATTCTTTTGATATTACAGGTGGTCCGTCTGGTAGGTTACTTGCGATTCTAGAATTAACAATCAGCATTTTTACTTCTCTCTCTGACACAAGCTTTTGTTCAACTAGACCCACTAACACTCTGCTTCTCTATGAGACAAGATTCTTTTATACTTGATCTGTGATGCGTGGGAGTGTTGAGGGACACACTTACCCTCTATCTGTTGGTGTGGTGAAAATTTCTCATTAATAGTTACTTAATGCGTGGGTTGTTTTGTGACACTCTTAACCCCCCGATTAATAGACCTTGATGTCTGTATGTGACTCCTTACACTTTGTCTGTTTGTGTGACAAATCCTCACCTATACACTTTACGTGTGACTAGGCTCCCTATCTCTCTGTCTGATAAAGTCCTCTGTAAGTATACATACTTGATGTGTAGGGTGTTTTATGGCACAGTTAGTCTCTGTCTGTGTGAAAAAAGACCCTCATCTGTATACTTGATGTGTGGGTTGTTTTGTTTAAAATTTATGTCTGACTCCTATAAACTTGATGTGTAAGTTGTTTAGTTAGACACTTATCTTGGTATGTGACAAAAGATCATCGCCTATATTACCCGGTAACTTGAACTGTGGGGTGTTTGTGACTCGCTAACTCTACATCTCTCTGTCTGATTAAAGTTCCTCAGCGTATGTATATAAATGATGTGCTCTTTTGTGACTAACTTATACTTTGAATGTGATAAAACATCCTAGACTAAGTCTATAAACTTGATGTGTGGGTTGTTTTGTGACACATCCTTATCCTCTGTTTCTATTCTCTGTAAAAATATTCTCTCCTAATGTGTGGGGGATGGTTTGTGACACTACCCTACTCTCTGTCTCTATTCTCCGTCTGTCTCTGTGACAGAACATTCTCCTCCTGATGTGTGGGTTGTTTTGTGACACACCCCTACCCTCTGTATCTATTCTCTCTCCTGATTTGTGGGTTGTTTTGTGACACATCCCTACCCTCTGTCTCTATTCTCTGTCTGTCTCTGTGACCAAACATTCTCCTTCTGATGTGTGGGTTGTTTTGTGACACATCCCTACCCTCTGTCTCTATTTTCTCCTCCTGATGTGTGGGTTGTTTTGTGACACATCCCTACTCTCTGTCTCTATTCTCTATCTGCCTTTGTGACAGAACATTCTCCTCCTGATGTGTGGATTGTTTTGTGACACATTCCTACCCTCTGTCTCTATTCTCCGTCTGCCTTTGTGACAGAACATTCTCCTCCTGATGTGTGGGTTATTTTGTGACACATCCCTACCCTCTGTCTATTCTCCGTCTGTCTCTGTGACCAAACATTCTCCTCCTGCTGTGTGGGTTGTTTTGTGACACATCCCTGCCCTCTGTCTCTATTCTCCGTCTGCCTTTGTGACAGAACATTCTCCTCCTGATGTGTGGATTGTTTTGTGACACATCCCTACCCTCTGTCTCTATTCTCTGTCTGTCTCTGTGACCAAACATTCTCCTCCTGATGTGCGGGTTGTTTTGTGACACATCCCTACCCTCTGTCTATTCTCCGTCTGTCTCTGTGACCAAACATTCTCCTTCTGATGTGTGGGTTGTTTTGTGACACATCCCTCCCCTCTGTCTCTATTCTCCGTCTGTCTTTGTGACCAAACATTCTCCTCCTGATGTGCGGGTTGTTTTGTGACACATCCCTACCCTCTGTCTCTATTTTCTCCTCCTGATGTGTGGGTTGTTTTGTGACACCTCCCTCCTCTCTGTCTCTATTCTCTATCTGCCTTTGTGACAGAACATTCTCCTCCTGATGGGTGGGTTGGTTTGTGACACTACCCTACTCTCTGTCTCTATTCTCTGTCTGTTTTTGTAACGGAACATTCTCCTCCTGATGTGTGGGTTGGTTTGTGACACTACCCTACTCTCTGTCTCTATTCTCTATCTGTCTCTGTAAACCAACGATTATTCTTCTCTTCATGTGTGGGTGATTTTTAACACACACCTCTACTCTGTATCTCTTTGTGTGACAAAATATTCACTTCATTACATTATTTATGTTGTAATCTGTATGTATTTAATTGATCATAATTTTGATGTTTTTAATTATATAATTAGTAGGACATATAACCATTATTTTCAGTTAAAAATAATCATTTAATTGACTTTTGAAATAATTTTGAGGGCCGACAGTGCCCTGTACTAGACTTCACTGAAGTACAGTACTATGTTTAGGGCTGACAGTGCCCTGTACTAGACTTCACTGAAGTACAGTACTGTGTTTAGGGCCGACAGTGCCCTGTACTAGACTTCACTGAAGTACAGTACTGTGTTTAGGGCCGACAGTGCCCTGTACTAGACTTCACTGAAGTACAGTACTGTGTTTAGGGCCGACAGTGCCCTGTACTAGACTTCACTGAAGTACAGTACTGTGTTTAGGGCCGACAGTGCCCTGTACTAGACTTCACTGAAGTACAGTACTGTGTTTAGGGCCGACAGTGCCCTGTACTAGACTTCACTGAAGTACAGTACTGTGTTTAGGGCCGACAGTGCCCTGTACTAGACTTCACTGAAGTACAGTACTGTGTTTAGGGCCGACAGTGCCCTGTACTAGACTTCACTGAAGTACAGTACTGTGTTTAGGGCCGACAGTGCCCTGTACTAGACTTCACTGAAGTACAGTACTGTGTTTAGGGCCGACAGTGCCCTGTACTAGACTTCACTGAAGTACAGTACTGTGTTTAGGGCCGACAGTGCCCTGTACTAGACTTCACTGAAGTACAGTACTGTGTTTAGGGCCGACAGTGCCCTGTACTAGACTTCACTGAAGTACAGTACTGTGTTTAGGGCCGACAGTGCCCTGTACTAGACTTCACTGAAGTACAGTACTGTGTTTAGGGCCGACAGTGCCCTGTACTAGACTTCACTGAAGTACAGTACTGTGTTTAGGGCCGACAGTGCCCTGTACTAGACTTCACTGAAGTACAGTACTGTGTTTAGGGCCGACAGTGCCCTGTACTAGACTTCACTGAAGTACAGTACTGTGTTTAGGGCCGACAGTGCCCTGTACTAGACTTCACTGAAGTACAGTACTGTGTTTAGGGCCGACAGTGCCCTGTACTAGACTTCACTGAAGTACAGTACTGTGTTTAGGGCCGACAGTGCCCTGTACTAGACTTCACTGAAGTACAGTACTGTGTTTAGGGCCGACAGTGCCCTGTACTAGACTTCACTGAAGTACAGTACTGTGTTTAGGGCCGACAGTGCCCTGTACTAGACTTCACTGAAGTACAGTACTGTGTTTAGGGCCGACAGTGCCCTGTACTAGACTTCACTGAAGTACAGTACTGTGTTTAGGGCCGACAGTGCCCTGTACTAGACTTCACTGAAGTACAGTACTGTGTTTAGGGCCGACAGTGCCCTGTACTAGACTTCACTGAAGTACAGTACTGTGTTTAGGGCCGACAGTGCCCTGTACTAGACTTCACTGAAGTACAGTACTGTGTTTAGGGCCGACAGTGCCCTGTACTAGACTTCACTGAAGTACAGTACTGTGTTTAGGGCCGACAGTGCCCTGTACTAGACTTCACTGAAGTACAGTACTGTGTTTAGGGCCGACAGTGCCCTGTACTAGACTTCACTGAAGTACAGTACTGTGTTTAGGGCCGACAGTGCCCTGTACTAGACTTCACTGAAGTACAGTACTGTGTTTAGGGCCGACAGTGCCCTGTACTAGACTTCACTGAAGTACAGTACTGTGTTTAGGGCCGACAGTGCCCTGTACTAGACTTCACTGAAGTACAGTACTGTGTTTAGGGCCGACAGTGCCCTGTACTAGACTTCACTGAAGTACAGTACTGTGTTTAGGGCAGACAGTGCCCTGTACTAGACTTCAATGAAGTACAGTACTGTGTTTATAGGGCTGGCAGTGCCCTGTACTAGACTTCACTGAAGTACAGTACTGTGTTTAGGGCTGACAGTGCCCTGTACTAGACTTCACTGAAGTACAGTACTGTGTTTAGGGCTGACAGTGCCCTGCACTAGACTTCACTGAAGTACAGTACTGTGAAGTTTTTCTCGTTTTTCTCCACAGCGTCCATACTGCAGCAACATGGTGGACATGCAGTGGACTTCAAAGGAGAGTCGTTTACGTTCAAGGCCACCACCGCCGGTATCATAGCAACCCTGTCCCACTGTATGGAGCTAATGTCTCAACGAGAGGATGCCTGGCGGAAACGGCTGGAAAAGGTACTGCTGTCTATTATTTACGCTTAGCAATCCTTATTTTCCTCAAATGGCTTTGATTTCCAAAAATAAGAAATTTTGTTCCCTGTGTTCCATATTCCTTGTGTAATAATGTTGATGATTATTTGATGAATTTCCAACAAAGTTTTCATGAATTATTTTTCGTTTCGTTATTTTAAACAAGTTATCTAGGAAATCATGGATGATTTCAAATAATGGTTTTATCTATTGATCATCACCTTCCTTTTCAAAAACAGTCATAATCTCATCCCCAAGGAAGCATATTTCTTAATTTACCAGATCATGAAATGTATTGGGTTTACTCAGCATTACAAGTAGCATGCAGACAATTATTTGTATGACAGATGTACATGTTTGGTGAAGCACAAATTGACGAGCGTGGTATTTAAAACAGAAATGTCAATTTGCGTACAAAAAATATAACTCATTTATAAAAAAAATAACTTTTTCCTATTCCAGTAAGTTTTGTGTTAGGTTAATTTCAGTATTTTTAATTAAATTTGTTGATCAATTTATAAAAAAAAATACTTTCATCAAACCAGAAGTAAGAAGAGAGTGATTCAGGCCCTTTAAACTTATAAATTTGACACTTAAGGTTTTGCTACAAACATTATTGCTTTGTCACAGGAGGTAGAGAGGAGAAAGAAGATGGAGGATGCCTACAAAACCACTGTATCTGACCAAAGTAAACCAAGGCTTGTGATTGGTGGACCAGACTTTGAGGTGAGTTCTTAATTAAACCAATGCCTCTGATTGGTTGACCGAACTTTGATCTGTTCTCTATTTAAGTGCATGGTCAGGATTAGTGAGTTTTAAAGGATAACAGGTCTTGAGGACATTTTGTTGGATAATATTTATAAATATTGGGTATAAACAGTATAATCAGGACTAGTACTGTTGGGATGATGAAGAGTACAGGTGTTTTGGGCCTCTTTAACGACAATATATTTATCCGGCATCTGCCCATGCTTGGTAATAAGCCCATCAAAATATATTGCAGTTAGGAAGAAATGCCAACAAATCTTTTTCATTGTCCTGTAATAAGCCCATCCCCCTACTTTCAGTCAGAGATTTTGTGTTGGTCACTTGGCCTTATTGCAGGATAAATAGGGGTAAGTATAAATATAAGAGATAAATATTACAGTCAGAGATTGAAGGCGAGGCTTTCGATGTGTAGTCCAAGTACCAAACTGAACATTTCACTTGTGACAGCAAATATTTAATTTCGTTTTGTAGGAAGGTCCTCATTGTGCCATTAAGGAAGATGAATTCTTTGATGCTGTCGATGCAAGTCTTGACAAGCTGGAGGAGAAAGTGGAGGAGGAAAAGGTGGGAATCTGTGTCGAAAGCCAACACAGTTTATCATACAGTCTCATACATGTGCAGGCAAAGTCATTGATGAGAATGGCCCTTATTTCTGAACATTTTTTTTTTTTTTTTTAAATCTTAAATAAGAAATCAGTGATGGTCACTGTGGTCTCAAAGTTGCAGGAATATTTTTGAAATTTCAACCTTTTTTTTTTATCTACAACCATGATGCTTAATGGAATTTAGACAAATGATACAAATAAGCTAAACTATACTATTTACCACTGTCCTTTCAAACAATGTATTCCATATATAGCATATATTGCAGTGCATTTTACAGAGTTATAGTTATTTGAAATTTGAATGTTTGAAAATACTGTAGAACTAAAAAAGGTAACAAAAACTGCATCGTTTGAAATTGGGACTATTACATTGTTAAACCTACTATATGGCAACGTTGCCATCCAGGAGTTAAAAAATACAGAATCAAATTGAGGATTCTATTAATTAGCTGCAAAGCCTACAAAAATCAATCCATGCAAAATATGCCAGTCCGACGGACATGTGCGGTAAAAAGTACTGCCAGTCTGGCAATCACTATTGTAATTCCAGACCAAATGTACGGCGCATGTTTTCTACCTTAGAGTCGTCGTGAGTCATGTCACTGTAGCATTTTGAATGCCTCTGTAATATTCAGTGCAGTCAAGCACTGCAGTAACCTGTAATGACATTGGTAAAGTGAAGAAGTATGCTTTGTTACGAGACTGGGGCAAAACCTGGCAAACCACTGCCAAAACCAAATCCAGTTAACGTTTTCATTTCATTATTGTACACATCAAACATTTTTTGGAAGTTTATTCTTTCATTTTTTGTCAGACTAGTAAGTATTTCAAGCTTACCTGACCGAAATGTCCTGTAAAAGTTGTTCTGGACCGGTAAGCTTGGGATAGTTACCTAACAGAATGTCCGGTAAGAAAATTTGTATGTCGCATGGACTGCAAAACGCTTTAACAAGGGAAGTTGCTTGAAGCCAGAAAAATTTCCTCTTCGTTTTGAAATACATGTTCTCGAAGTGGAACTCTTGTTCAGATTATAACTGATGCAGCCGTGGTACTCGTTATCTTAATTGGATTCTGATAAATTAAAAAATGTCAATCTATTTCCATAGATTATTGAGTACACATATGTGATGGTTCTTTTGATTTTACAGCAACGGAAATTAAAAGAAGATCATGTGAAAGATGTCCCAAACATTGCCCTGGATCCGTCTAATATACTTTACCAGGAGGTAGGTATTTTTTAAAATGTTTCCCTTCAGGTTGGAAAGTCTGGATTGCATATAGCACAGCCAGTGAAATTATTTTCATGTGTGCTGTTTCAGTGACTAGGTATTAAACAAAGTGAAGCCAAATTGATCCGTTGATTTGATAATGATTTCATAAAATTGATCTGTTGATTTGATAATGATTTCATAAATTGATCTGTTGATTTGATAATGATTTCATAAAATTGATCTGTTGATTTGATCATCATTTTGTAAAATTGATCTGTTTATAAAATAATCATTTTGTATAATTAATCTGTTGATTTAATCATCATTTTGTAAATTTTAAATTAATCTGTTGATTTGATAATCGTTTTGTATATAGTTATAACAGCTAAATGTACAGACGCTTAAAACATAGCTGAATCGAGGATGATTTTATCGCCAACTGGAATGTATTTTACACCGTAGCGTACATATATACGCTCAATCAGTCAATTTCCCGATGAAGGTGATAGATTACATATTGCACGAGTCATCAAAACGTCACACGTCAACGTTTCATTGAGACACGTCTGTTACAGATAAACAATGAGGTAAACACGCACCTGCTGCGTATGGACGAGAAGTGTGAGGACGGGGAGGACACATGGCAGGTTATCGCAGAGGAGGGCGACCTAAAGGTCTACAAACGCGAGATTGAGGTTGATGGAGTCGTAGTCGATCCTCTCAAGGCCACACACATAGTTACGGTATGTAGAAAAAGTGTGTTCTGTAGTTAACTAAAAAGGGGTCAGAAGTGCTTACATAGTCAGAAGTGCTTACATATTTATCATGGTTATATGGTCCATACCACGTCTCTAGACTTTGTCTCGCCGCCACGAAGTGGAAGCGAGACTAAGGTGTTGCTTTTCCGGTGACGGCGGCGTCTACATTAGGTATTTGTGTTGAAGTTAGTTTCACTGAAAGTATAAGTGCTACACCAACCAAACTAGGACCATAGATGCATTTTTAGGTAGTACATCTCAATCCATGCATCAAATGCTGGATGCGGTCTACCTTTCATGGTCCATTGACTTTGTCAGCATCTCCATCAACATGAAGTTTTTGCGTTTAAGTCATAGTTTCTCTGATATGTGCATTGATGGTCAAAGTGGGGCAAAGGCGAGACATATCAATCCGAATGGCTTGTTATATAATTATAAGACAGAATTTAGATGATTTAGTGAAAAGTGATCTTGTTTTTCATCAAGACGGCCAGTGTTCTATTCTTTAATTGGACTAGTTAATAAATGAGCTTCTATGCTGGTACATGTCCGTTTTTTTCTCACTGGGAACTTTGGTTTCCACCCATTTTAGCACCTCTGACACTTCTAGGGTGACACAAGACTTATTAATATAGATTTATTGCTTATTGCATAGTTGTAGATAACTTAAAAGAAATTTCACTGTTGCACACGATTTCAAAACACATACAAAATTAAATCATGAAATTTGATGTTGATTGCATATTGGTTAGTCTGCATATGATAATTTGTCACATTTTGATTGTCAGGGTATCACGGGTCATGAAGTGTGTCAGTACTTCTGGGATATTGATGTCCGAATGGAGTGGGACGGTAAGTTGTGAATCATGTTAACTCCCTCAACACATACTGATAGCCCCTTTTATGCAGCGCATGTATGTCTGTACATATAGATAACAGGGTTTCAATAGCAAGAGACTTTAGGTCAAATATGCATAGAATTTAAATTAGATGCACAAAAGGGTCAAACAAAACAGACATTTAAATGTATGCATCGATGTCAAATGGGAACAGTGACTGGGCAAGTGGCAGAATTGCATGAATGAACTACTTGGTGGTCGGGTGCCGCAGTGGAAAATGCACTTGCCGTTCACCTTGGCGGCTGGGGTTGGATTCCCGAGCAAACGTGAAAGGGATGGGGTCACCTGCCCGACCACGGGTTTTTTTCTGGGCACTCTGATTTCCTCCATTATTAAGAACCCCTCGTGGGCCAACAAGAGTTATCAATATTAGCAGTAATAACTTGTTTCATAATTACTGGTATTGTAAAAGAAATAAAATTTATATTATATTATGATATACTTTAGTTCATGACTTACAAATATGTTGTTCCTCTGTTTTCAGTTACGCTAGAGTCAAGTGTGGCGACTGAGATACACTCGGAAGATACCATTGTGAGTCATAACATCATTAAGCGAGTATGGCCGACGTCACAGCGCGATGCCCTGTTCTGGTCACACATCCGCCATGTGCCCAGCTCCCAGGATGAAACTCCAGACCGCTGGCTCGTGGTCAATGTGTCCACTAATCACCCTAAAGTCCCAGTAAGTAGTGGTCACTTGGTTACTGGTCAGTCTTATGCAATACTGCAGCAGACACGGACAGTTAGAAGACGCAATTAATTTACATACAGTACTACCAGGCATTTGCAAAACAATTTGCATTTATTCAATACTTTTCTTTGAAATTCTAGCTGTTGCTAGAAACTTCAACCTAACATATTGTTTTGAAAATTTGAATATGTCTGATATTTTCATTTTTTGTCGGGGGGGGGGGGGAATTACTAATAGACAAAAAAACTTGAAATTCAATAAAGACTATAAAATTATGGGTATTTTGCTTTAGAAGTTTATGAAAAAGTTCTGTACTATTTTATTATCAAAAAAAGTTTATATTCACAAATACGACTACACATGCACACAACTGTTAGGTATTCACACACAACTGTATTTGAATATTCACATACAATTGAACATTATTGAATGAATATATATATATTCATGCATACATTTGTTGAAAATTTACACATACACACAGTTTTTAGAATACACAACTTGTTGAATATTTGCACACAATTAACAAGTTTTCTTTGAATATTTGCACACACAAATGTTGGAATATTTACACAGAATATTTGCACGCAATTGTTAGAATATTTGGTTATTTACACAGAATATTTACACGCAACTTGTAGAATATTTGCACAAAACTGACAATTCTATAAGAAAAATTTACGAATACAACAAGTGTTAGAAAATCATGTATTAATACCTATATATCTGCTTCATTTACAGTCCAACAAGTTTGTCAGAGTGACCATGAATGTGGCGATGATCTGTGAAACAATAATAGAACCACCAAAAGATGGTGGAGACATCACCCGCAAAGACATCAAGTGCAAAATTAGTTACACTGCTGATGGTAAGTTGCTGCTGGATACAGTGGAGATACAGAATTTCTATTTATCAGAAAAACTTTCGGGTGATGTACTGTATATAAACTCGAAATGTTCGTTGGTACTTTCCTTCCTTGTTTGAAACAATTCAGATCGTTTCGTGGTACAAACTTTCGTGGATATCCTATATTAACAAACAGTAGACACGTATGTCATCAAAATTTGTTTGTATTTATTTTTGTGTTTCAATATAGCAACCACGAAAACCACGAATGTTTATACACAACGGACATTTCATGTTATACAGTAACCGTCATACTGAGGTGTCTGTCCCTCCATCTGTAGTGTCTGTCTGGAGGATATCTTGAGAATGAATGGCCATACAAAGATCGAACTTCATTCATATCAACTGTAAATGGTAAACAACACAGTTCAATGCCTGAAGAGTACTTAATTTATACAGGCTGCAGTTCACTTTGAGGTTAGGTGTTTAGTCATTTGTCTCTGTTTATTTTCAGTTAATCCTGGTGGATGGGCCCCTGCCTCTGTACTACGGGCAGTATACAAGCGAGAGTATCCCCGCTTCCTGAAGCGATTCACACAATTTGTTCTGGACAAAACCAAAGACAAACCCATTCTCTTCTAACCGTCAGCATCATCCTCTCACAGAAACGGCCATATGTTACACATCTGATATCTAAGTCAAATTTAAATCAGACATTCTCTCACAAGTCTGGCAACATGTTACACTCCACAGCCGAAATGTAAGCCAAGCGGGATGTGCTCTCACAAGTCTGACGAATGTCACACTCCACAGCCGAATTGTTAGCCAAGTGAGACTCACTCTAACAAGTCTGGCGAATGTCACACTCCACAGCAGACTTGTTAGCCAAGAGGGACTTGCTCTCACAAGTCTGACAAGTGTTACACTACACAACCGAAATGTTATCCAAGATGAACTCACACTCACAAGTTTGACGAGTGTTACAGTACACAACTAAAGTGTTAGCCAAGTGGGACTCGCTCCCATTCACCCCTACAGTCACATTTGAACCGTACCAAATCAAAGAAAGAGCAAGTCCAGTTTAAAAATGTACGGGTGAATGAGTTAAAGGCAGTTGTTCCTATTCAAATCTAAGGGGGAATAATTTCTATAGAAAAAGGGTAAATGTCTGCCAAGGGAACCTAGTGAGTGATTTTCCCAAGAGGGTCACTTGCACTGTGTAGCTGTTGCTCTTGGGAGAGTTGTCATTGTTATTTGACTTGTTATTTACTTTAATAATGAATTGTTCAGATTTTTTTTTATGTAAGATGATGTGGTATGCTTGTGATGATGCAACTTCCCTAGATATAGTTCTTTAGAGTAATGGTTTCTGATTCCATTCTAATCTATGATAGACCTCTAGTCATGTTTTACTGGAAAAAGGATCATTGCACATTTTTATATATTTTTATGATAAAAAAAATGCATGTAGACATCTGTATTTATTATTTATTCAGATTTTCTTCAGAGCACTATGATTTTTATCTTTAAGTTCAAATTTTGATAAAAAAAATAGGATTGATTTTGTATAAAACAAAATATATAGTGTATTAACTGTTGCCTATCAATGTGGGACTGTGTCTAGGAGACGTGGCACTCCTACGAGTCGTCAGGGACACTGGGTCAAATTTTAGCACATAAAACAAATATCTGATTACTCATTCAAAGATTAACACGAAAATTCTGTTCGTTTTTTTGGGGTTTTTTTCAGATGAAAACCGAAGTATTTATTATCATATAATGAAGACTTACATGTGACTAAATAATCTAGGATTTATTTTTTACGTATGCTGCCTTAAATAAAACAGGTCTTGTAATCAAAGGTTTGCTGTTAATTTTATGCCAATTACAATTCACAAGTGATGTCCTGCTGTACCCTGGCAGTGTTTATCTCCGACTTTTAATGATAATGTGAATCTACAAATTTAATACGACTGAGCAATTCAGATCAGGTGTCAAATATATCCGACCTTACAACCGCGAAAAACACAAATTCAAGTGTGCACATTTGTATTTTTCCCACACAAACCGAAAAGTATTATACATGTTTAACCTCATTAAAATCATATCCTGATTTACTTCAATACACTGTTTAGCAGTTTTGCAGTCAAATAAGATCTAATTTCAATCTTCAGCATGTTCGATTGGAAACGTAAGATTGTAACGTGAAAGCGGAACCAGCTTACAGCATTACCTCTGTTTAAGGGTAGCCAAGCCTAAAGCATGGTAGAGTGTATCATCTTTTGTTATTCTTTTCATCTGTGTTCATCATCACATAATAGAATTCTGTCACAATGAGGAAAAAATAGTTAAGCTGTAAATAAATGTATTAGAAAGCACACATATTGTACATTGGATGATTTCACTAAAGGAAGACTATTTTTTTCCCCTTGTTAAATCTTATTTGTTATTTACTCTATAAACGAAGATAATTATAAACTTTAGGCCTTTGTACGGCGTTGGATCATTTTGAAATTACTTTCATTGATGTTGCGGAAAAGTTTTAACAAATAGCACGACCAGTGGTTGATGCAGGCTGTATATTCAAGAGGTCCAGTGATCGAATCTTGGTAGTGGAGCCAAGATGTTTTTATGAAAAATAACATTATGATAAATGTATTTCTGTCATACAATAATTATGATAATTTGAGGTTCTTATATACCGCTTTATCACAACCTAGTTTCATAGGTCATCTCAAAGTGGTTCATATACTACTCTTTGCTTTTAGCAAATAGACAAGCAACTCCCCAAGTGAAAACCATTTGGAACTCTTCTTTGTTGGAGATAGAACACTGAGCTGGGACACTCTACCTTAAATCTGTTCTTGCATATACGCAGATGTTATATATAGTCGAGGTATATTACGAATAGGTTGAAAGTGAGCTCATCATTCTGGTAGGTATACACTTGTATAGAAAATATATTTATTCAATCTTGAATTTTTCTTAACAGAGTAAAATCTTGCTTATAATAGATACACTGTATTTTTTTAACAATAAGAATAAAAGTGTAATTTTCATACTGATGGAACTAAAATGAAATCCCCCCAAATAAGTTGACAATAAGCTGCATTAGATTCACCACTAACGCTTTAAGTGTAAATGCCAATGTTTGTATATGGTGTTATATTACAGTGCGAGTGTGAATATATGATAAAAGTTATATAAAATATTAAATATTTGTAGAATTTTAAGAAAATTTACTTGTGTGCAAGGTGCTTGAAATTTTGTAATCAAATTTCGAAATGAATGGGTATTTATTAGTTAATGTTAAAATCAATTTAGTTTTGCGAGATGAATTTTTTACATTAGTTCGTTAGAAGAAAAAAAACTGTGCAAATTTTTAATCTTTACATGATTTATTAATTCAGTAGATAAAATGTATTAATATTAAAATTGCCTCCTCGCAATCGCAATCAAGTATTTGGTAATAAAGGTCCGAGTGCATAGGGTCAGGAAATGAAGTTCAAATGAAGAGAAAATGTTTTACTGAACATACCTTACAACCTTTGAAGCATGCCCGATACAAAACCAATTTTGATTGATGTGTAGTCTTTTGTATTTAACTTTTTATTTCAACCACCCAATTAGATTTTCGTCATTAAAATGATGATTGTTGCCGACATCTGTTGTATATATCTGTGTTGATTGTCCCAAGAACTACACTCTGTCCCCGCACATAGTTTTTCATCAATTTGTATTGTAGTTAGTGTATTTTTATTTTGTCTTTGAGAAACACTGTTAAAAGGGTTTCAGATACACAAATGTTATGTTTTTTCACAGAATACCCACTACAACTGCATCAGCTGATTTTACAGAAGTTTCATTCTGGTATATGCTCAATGATAAAGTTTGTCAGTTGTTTGACAAACGTTTACATTTTACAAGTGTAATTTTTTAATTTTGTATACGTTTCCATGCCGTAGTATCAAAAGGTCTTACATGATAACCTGTTTTTTTCGGGGGGGTTTTCCGGCAAGCATTAACACCTGCAAAATCACCACAACAGAATGTAAGAAAACATACCAGGAACAGAGTTAGCTAATGAATTAAGGGTTGTGTTGAGTATCTGTTGCAACACAAGTTGTCAATTTAAACCTTTTATAAGTTTTGAGCTTTAGCTAAAATGCTGACTTGTAATACCACGGAATTAGATTAGATCTAAGTCCATGGTAATACAGTGAAAGTTTTGTAATCTGACAACTCAACAATATAACCCATGGACATTGCATATATATTGGTCAGATTTACCTGTCTATTCTGACATCCTGTAGGATATAACATTGGTCAGATGAACCTGTCTATTCTGACATCCTGTAAGATATAACATTGGTAAGATGAACCTGTCTAATCTGACATCATGTAGGATATAACATCGGTAAGATGAGCCTGTCCAATCTGACATCCTGTAGGATATAACATATTGGTCAGATTAACCTGTCCAATCTGACATCCTATAGGATATAACATATTGGTCAGAATAACCTGTCCCATCTGACATCCTGTAGGACTTAACATATTGGTCAGATTAACCTGTCCAATCTGACATCCTGTAGGATATAACATATTGGTCAGAATAACCTGTCAAATCTGACATCCTGTAGGACTTAAGATATTGGTCAGATTAACCTGTCCAATCTGTCATCCTGTAGGACTTCACATATTGGTCAGAATAACCTGTCAAATCTGACATCATGTAGGACTTAACATATTGGTCAGATTAACCTGTACAATCTGTCATCCTGTAGGACTTAACATAGTGGTCAGATTAACCTGTCCAATCTGACATCCTGTAGGACTTAACATATTGGTCAGATTAACCTCTAAAAGTTGTATTTGGTAGTTTTGGTAATAAGTTTGAATTTCACCATGATCTCGGAGCAAAGATGTTTCCAGAATATGCAGTGGTTGGATTAGACAGGACGTCAGAATACATACAGGTCACTTTGTTATCAAGTTAGGTATGTTACACAGACAACGTGTTGGTCTAGATCTGCTAAAAAAATAAGAGAATAAAATCTACCATGTGACCTTATGATTCTACAGCATCAGTGTATTCCAAATTACTGTGATATATTGGGCATTTTACACAGCAAATACGTTTGAAAAAGTTCAAACTAAAAACACCTTTTTTCCAGTATTATGAAATCATTTCAAAGGTGAAGCTATGATTTTCTATAATCAAATTACGATTTTATTGTGATATTGATTTTTCTTGTATTGTGTATAAATTAAAATTAGCCTTAATGCTTGCTTGTCAAATAGTTGCAGCTAAGCTGTAGAATCAGGCCCATATTTGGCAGAGCTTGACATGTGGAGTTTGTACTATTTAAGTGTATCATAAGAAACATTTACGAAATGGAGCTAATTTCTTATCAGCATGTTTATCACTGGGTGTAATCCTGTCTATGCTAATTTCAGTATATTGTTGCAGAAATCTATATTTATTCTTGTCTGATGTTGGATGGAGACAATTCTGTGGGTAAATTAGGCATTGTTAACCCGTTCACCCCTATGTAACCTCAGTGGACTCTACCATGCATATATTTGGATGAGTCCATTATGGTCTACAGTGGTGAAAGGGTAAAGCTGTGTAAGGTAAATTTCGATCTTTGTGTTACTGGGTTGCTTCCCCTTATGTAATGCTATTCTATGTAATATATATCACCTTTGCTCGCACATGATTAAATAACCCATTTGCAGCAGAAAACATGATTAAAACAGTTTTAGAGTGTTGTGCAAAACAGTCAGTTCTGTTAGAAATTTCTGATGATTTGAATTAAATTATCTTTGATAACGATGTAAAAGGTTGTATAAGATCATCTTTGATCACATTAAAGATGTGTGATGATGAATTGTTCAGTGGAGGTGAACATTTGATAACATTTTTGCCGTAAATTCTCTACCATGCAATTTAAATCAAATGTGATTTTCAGGGGCGGGGAGCGTGGGATTTTTTTTGTTTTTCTTTATGATTCACTTAAGTTACACAGGCGATGTTCAGGAAGTAATTAATATATATACCGGTTCATACATTCAGACCAAATTGTCACCCTGTCACGTTGACCTGTACGTGGAATATTCATATCTGGCAATTGCATTGATTGTTAGGTATGCCCACCTGGTCATTGTTCAAATGTGTCGAGTATAGCATACTGTACACGTGATAGGACGTCACAATGTATGTGGAATATTCATATCTGACATTCACATCGAGTTTTAGGTATGTATGCCCACCCTTTCATGGTTCAAGTGTGTCGAGTAGAATATACACGTGTGGGAAGTCGCAACTGTTTCACCTGTAACTTCGGTAACCAATTACAATAGATCTATCTGTCCTCCCTAATATGAATACTGACTCGCCTGCCACATATTATGGTAAACCAAGGTCAACACTTCGGTAAGGTTAACTTTGGTAATCAATTAGGCCAATAGATCTATCTGTCCTCCTAATATGAATACTGGCTCGCCTGCCTCCAATTACGGTAAACCAAGGTCAACATTTCAGGTGATGGCAGTCTGACTATATACAGGGTCTATCTGAGCCGTCACAAGCGTTCAGTCATTTTGTAGTCCGTGTATATGAGCTTTAAGTGCTTGTGTCTTGCAGCTTTTGTATATTTTCTGAAATACTATTTTATACCATGTGGTAAAAAAAATACAATGCATTTGTGCGGGAGTAAAAGACCATATTTATTTTCTAAACAATTGTTTTATATCATGAATTATTTACTATTTGTAAATACATGTATCCTTTTTTGCAGCAGTTCTGTTGTGAAATACTGGGCATCACAATGCTGCAATAAATACATATTGATGAAATTTCATTTTGGTTCCTATTCATTCTGCTTAACAAACTACACCCTGGGAGAGAAAAAGTTTACATAGACTACATAATAGACTAAACAAGAAGCTGTCATCAATGTCGCAGTGCAGAATCATTAAAAAACGAAGCTTAAAACAAAGGTCAAATTCAGCATCCGATTATACATTCAGTACTGTAATCCTAGACTGACAATTGACCACAATATAATAGTATAATCAGAGACGTATATATTACATATACCTCTCTGGTTTAATCAACACAGCACTTGTAGTAGGCAAGATATAGATCACAACAATTCTTCTTAACCTTACATGAAGATGAGAGAAATTCTTCTTAACCTTACATGAAGATGAGAGCAATTCTTCTTAACCTTACATGAAGATGACAACAATTCTTCTTAACCTTACATGAAGATGAGAGAGCAATTCTTAACCTTACATGAAGATGACAGCAATTATTCTTAACCTTACATGAAGATGACAACAATTCTTCTTAACCTTACATGAAGATGAGAGCAATTCTTCTTAACCTTACATGAAGATGACAGCAATTCTTCTTAACCTTACATGAAGATGACAGCAATTCTTCTTAACCTTACATGAAGATGACAGCAATTCTTCTTAACCTTACATGAAGATGACAGCAATTCTTCTTAACCTTACATGAAGATGACAGCAATTCTTCTTAACCTTACGTGAAGATGACAGCAATTCTTCTTAACCTTACATGAAGATGAGAGTAATTCTTCTTAACCTTACATGAAGATGACAGCAATTCTTCTTAACCTTACATGAAGATGACAGCAATTCTTCTTAACCTTACATGAAGATGACAGCAATTCTTCTTAACCTTACATGAAGATGACAGCAATTCTTCTTAACCTTACATGAAGATGACAGCAATTCTTCTTAACCTTACATGAAGATGACAGCAATTCTTCTTAACCTTACATGAAGATGACAGCAATTCTTCTTAACCTTACATGAAGATGACAGCAATTCTTCTTAACCTTACATGAAGATGACAGCAATTCTTCTTAACCTTACATGAAGATGACAGCAATTCTTCTTAACCTTACATGAAGATGACAGCAATTCTTCTTAACCTTACATGAAGATGACAGCAATTCTTCTTAACCTTACATGAAGATGACAGCAATTCTTCTTAACCTTACATGAAGATGACAGCAATTCTTCTTAACCTTACATGAAGATGACAGCAATTCTTCTTAACCTTACATGAAGATGACAGCAATTCTTCTTAACCTTACGTGAAGATGACAGCAATTCTTCTTAACCTTACGTGAAGATGACAGCATTTTTTCTTAACCTTACATGAAGATGAGAGAGCAATTCTTCTTAACTTTGCATGAAGATGAGAGTAATTCTTCTTAACCTTACATGAAGATGACAGCAATTCTTCTTAACCTTACATGAAGATGACAGCAATTCTTCTTAACCTTACATGAAGATGAGAGTAATTCTTCTTAACCTTACATGAAGATGACAGCAATTCTTCTTAACCTTACATGAAGATGACAGCAATTCTTCTTAACCTTACATGAAGATGACAGCAATTCTTCTTAACCTTACATGAAGATGACAGCAATTCTTCTTAACCTAACATGAAGATGAGAGTAATTCTTCTTAACCTGACATGAAGATGACAGCAATTCTTCTTAACCTTACATGAAGATGATAGCAATTCTTCTTAACCTTACATGAAGATGACAGCAATTCTTCTTAACCTTATATGAAAATGAGAGAGCAATTCTTCTTAACCTTACGTGAAGATGACAGCAATTATTCTTAACCTTACATGAAGATGAGAGTAATTCTTCTTAACCTGACATGAAGATGACAGCAATTATTCTTAACCTTACATGAAGATGACAGCAATTCTTCTTAACCTAACATGAAGATGAGAGTAATTCTTCTTAACCGTAAATGAAGATGAGAGCAATTATACTTAACCTTACATGAACATGACATCAATTCTTCTTAACCTAACATGAAGATGAGAGAGCATTTTTTCTTAACCTTACATGAAGATGAGAGAGCAATTCTTCTTAACTTTACGTGAAGATGACAGCAATTCTTCTTAACCTTACATGAAGATGACAGCAATTCTTCTTAACCTTACATGAAGATGAGAGTAATTCTTCTTTACCTTACATGAAGATGAGAGTAATTCTTCTTAACCATGTGAAGTCAATGAAGCGTAAATATAGATCAAAATCAGCATCTGCAATATACGTTCAGTTGAGCAATCCTAGATGCACAATTAATTGATGCAAGTATAATCAACATAGCGCTTGTAGAAGGCAAGATACAGATGAGAGCAATTCTTCTAAACCAGGTACATGGACGGACGCAAGGACGGATTCCATTTCTATATCCCCCGCCAACTCGTTGAGCGGGTGATAATTATATATATAATAACTCCATCATGATCAGTGAAGACCACACTTTTTCATACAACCACCAAAGGAATTAATATTATCACTATTGTCCCTTTGTCCCGCAGTATTTGAGCGAATCTTTGAAATTTTGTGTTTGATTGGTATGATATGAAGAAAAGGGGACTTCATGTGCTTATTTTTACCACGGAATTAGATTAGACTAAGTCCGTGGTTTTACAATAGCTGTAACTGTTTTTATTTCTCTCCGGTACATGTGAACCATGTAAAACATATTTTTTAGGAAAAGTGGACAAAGGGAGGCAATCCGTATAACAAATTTTGTGAACTGGTAACCAGAAATAAAAGAACCTTGCCGTAGTCCTAGCCTAATCCAGAGACGTTTAATACGTCTCTGGCCTAATTGACGCCTTGGATTACCCATTTCAAACCATCTAATAGCATATATTTGTTGAGCTCTCCTGAGTATCTAAGAACGGAGGTAGTTTTGTCTCGACTGCGATGAATTTCACAAAAGCCTGACACAGGATCACTCTTTTCCGGTGGCGTCCCCGTTAATTTTATATTTTAATATAACTGCATTACATCATGAATTTGGCTGAATTTCCTGGTTCAGTAACTTTATCGTCATCAATTTTATGGTTTTGTGTTTAGCTGTGTGTGTATCATAAATATATATTGGACAGTACGTACATAGATATATCTATTTTAAATACATGTATCACGTGTGGTGTTTGGATTCTTATCTGCTTGGTCCAGAATTTCATCATTAATGATAAGCTTCTGTGATTTGCTGCGATCTTCAAAAGATCAGATATAATTTTGTGGAACTCTTGTTACAAAAAAAATGAATCAAAAGGGATTCCAGGTATAGACACTGAACTTTATTCAAAAACACTGAAATTCCATTTGAAAATGATATTGTTGAAATCTAACTGCTCAAATATAAAAATCGTTTAACATGAAATTGATGCAGCCTCTTTTAGTTGCTAGTGACGTGATTTTTTAGTGTGATCTGTAGTTCTTGACTACATAGTGGTCTCTTGTATGCTGGTGTCTCCTCTTTAGGTACGTGCAGCTAGGCTCGTAAACACACAACAAATCTCAGTTGAAACAAGCAGCCAGCGTCGGAAAGCCCTCAGGCCCTTGGTAGCATTTTAGCTGGCATGAAGTCTTCTTCTTGCCAAAGGCGCCATTACAAACTTGGAAACAATTGTTTAGGCGATCCTCGGTCTGTCTTTTACATTCCAAGAGAATGGACCTATCAACACAGTCTTGACCAGCGGACAACTGTACTCCGGCCAGGAGGAGGACAAATACGGTCACAGCGATCATCTAAAACATATCAAGGTACGGTTAAGTAACATGTTATACACCACAGAGACATGTCACTTGCTATAGAATAACTTCAGTGACACGTCCCTGTGTCAAACAGCCTGAACACCTTAGGTAAGGTCCAAATATAGCTGTAACAAATTCTCAGGTCCCTGTGGGAGAGATCACTAGGGCGGAAATTTTACCGCTATTGACAGTGATAGGAGATAGGGATAACATGACATTCCAGATAAATAAAGAGCTGAATTTATGTCCACATTGAAATATCCGATTTAGATATATTATGCATTAACAAAATTGCAAAGTCATGGAAACAAATTTTATGTTAGGTCAAAAATATGTATTTTTCAGGTACCGCGACCTACCGTAGTTTTTTCCTCCGACCAAAACCAAATTTCAATTCCGTAATATTATAATTATCTAAATGACCTAAAAGATGTTGCGTTATTTTTGTAATTTCCTAAATTAGTCCCCTAAAAAACAACAGAAAAAAACCCCAATCCGACCGACCTAGTTCGAATTATTCTGACGTTTTATCGACTTTTTTTTTATATCGATCGACGACAGACCGATATAAAGAAGTCGATAAAACGTCAGAATAATTCGGACTACGACCGACCTAACCTATTTTTTCAAGATACGTTCTCAAGTGGACGTGAGGCCCCAGATTTTCCAATGTCCATGTTATGCTCAGGGACATGCGAATTTGTTAGTATAACTATGTTTGGGCCTGATGTGTTCAGAGTAATATTAGACGTTTTAACGGTTTATATAACGGGAAGTCAACCATCAAATTAAACGTTGCAAGCGGGGTATCTTTCTTTTATATTTCATGCATGTTTATTTTTTTTCAAAGAGTTTTCCTGAAGTAAAATGCATCATGAAAAATAAATGGTTGCTTTCTTGTCTCGTAATATTTTCATAATTTTCGTTTAGCGATTTTCAAGATATAAAAACTTCATCTCAAAATCAATTTTACGACAAAATTTTGGTAAGATAAAGAGCAAAATGCCGCAACAAAATTGTATCCTTTAGACAATTTGTCATATCTTAAAGGGGCATCACACTGAAGTAACTTTTTTGTGTCTTTTTTTTCAAATACTACATAAACATATCAAGTGAGACTCCTTGGAAAATAACGATCGGATTTGGCTGAAATAGATTCATAAAAATGATTAAATCTAAGATAATCATCTGTATTTCTACCTGTCTGACTAACGTTTCCGTGTGAAGTAAGCGAAAGAAAA